GGACTCAGAGCAATGTGGACTAAATCAGTAGTATGGGAGCAACTCACTTCTTCCGGTAGTGCAGTGCAGTTAGACGAAATACTGTGTTCGGATTGGGTGGAATCGGACACACCTTGCCCAGTTATGTGTGAATCTTATAAAATTCACTGGTTCAAAATAACAGAATGAAACTGACTTAGGTAAATCTCACCCAATACAATCGTTGAAAGATATCCGCACGACTATAACACCCGAATGCAAAAACAGACCCCTAGCCAGCTTTTGTCAAGGGGGTCAATTATTTTTTTTAAATCAAGAATGGTTCGAGTTTGACAATTTTGACCAAAAATCACCCAAGTGCTCAAAATAGTGAGAATTAGCGTGATTTTGAAGACAATATGGCCGACCCCCCACCCCTCTTGGCTACTGGCCTGACAAATATTATGTATCCAATCCTAAGCGAAGCCGATTTCTATAACTTGACATTCTCCTTTTTCGATGATATTTGACGTCACTTTTAAGGAAAACGTCGCTTTATCGATATTGACCGCATTTTGTCCATTATTTTGGAAGAGGCTTACTCCTGTTATCGCCATCCTGTTGTATGGCTGCATTTTATAACAACGTATGTCTCGTACACCGTGTACCGTAGGGCCTACGTAGCCTGTTGACTATCCTTCAATAGTATTCAAATATTACAGTAGGAGCTCTCTGGCGGATCCCCTCTGGTGGGCTCAGAAAAATTTGCCTTTTTGGGCATAACTTTTGGGCCTTTTCTAGACCAAATTATCAAAAATGGGCCTTATTTTTCAAAAATTGGGTTTCATCAATTTTTAGGGCCCATTTTTTTCCTTTTTCCGACTTGAAATACCCCCCCCCCTCGAAAGCTTCTGGATCCGCCAGTGGAGCTCGCCTTTTTATATCATGGATATGAGGATTTTATGTATGTAGAATAGTAGCAAATAAAACTAAAAAACATAAGGGTCACCTAGATCTAATGGTTAAGCCACTGGTGCTATACCTAATGTTATTTGTCCTTCACTGCCAGTGTCAATGCCTTGTCGAATAGCTTAACCCAATAAATCGTGTACTTTTAAACCTTACATTTTCGAAAAATAAAGTAACCTTGCCACTCTGGAATCTCTTTCAGGTTGTAACAAATTCTATACGATTATGATAAGAAAAACGCCTGAAAAAATTGCCATTTCACTATGTATTGAGTGGGCTAAATTCTTTTCACATATTGCAATTTAATAACTGCAGTTATATTAAAATACTGTGTTTGGATTGGCTGGAATCGGACACACCTTACCTAGCAATGTGTGAAATAGATATTTCCATAGGCCATGTACATGTTGCAGTACTATATACGTAGCCGTTACACACCGTCCATAGTCTTCCATCGTACCATGAGAACTATCTCATAGATGTTAAAAGTGAAATCATTTTAGGCGACTGTTGAAAATTCATGCGGTTATGCAAAGGTTTGGAAACAACACCTTCATGGTATGATTCAGCAAACAATGCATTGAGTCTTGGGCTTAAATACTTTATTCACACATAGTTAGTCAAGGTGTTTCCGATTCCAACAAATCAGAACAGAGTATTCACTTAATCAACAGTGTGTGAAATATCAATAACACATGCAAGGTCACCAGTTAAACAGTTGTCATGGTGATGAATGGACTTCTCACATTGGATTTGATGACTTGCCAACTTGACCAACTTGACTTGAAAAAATGTCATTGAAAATGTGTTCTTTTAGTGATTTTGTTCCTTCTTAGATGATTTTGGAGAAAATATTTTGCAATGTGTGAAAAAATTTAAGACCAAGACTCAATGCATTGTAGCTGCTTCATTCCACTCAGGCGTTGTTTCCTAAACTTTGCATTTCCGGTCATGCAAAGATTTGGAAACAACACATTCTTGGTATGATTCAGCAAACAATGCACAGAGTCCAGGGCTTAAATCCTTAATTCACACATAGCTAGGCAAGGTGTGTCTTATTCCAGCCAATCAGAACAGAGTATTCACTTAATTAACAGTGTGTGAAATATCAATAACGCATTTGTTGTGTAAAGTTGCTAAGTGATTGAGATTGAAATTCCCATGCGGGGTCATGCAAAAATTGGGAAACAACATCTTCGTGGAATGGTTCAGCACACAATGCACGGAGTTCAAGGCTTAAATCCTTATGTATAACATAAACAGGCAGGTTTAACAAGAGAAGCAACAACAAAATGAGGATTGTTTAGAGAGAAATAGATCTTTAATTCACAATAAATCAGTCTAAAATACAAAGTCTTGTACAAGGATTCAAGAAATGGCTCAACTGGCTTCCTTTACAAAGGGAAATTTCCCTAAATAAAAAGGGGAAAATTCCCTCAAATCATTATCTGTGCTCTAAACTGTATTACTAAGATCAGCTCAATTATGTTCTGATTGCTCTCAGTCACAGGAAACTAAAACGTACAAACGAAACAACATATCTTAAAATGTGAACTACAAGGTTGCCCAAAATATTGTACCCAAATTCCATGTTTGTCTATGAACAATTTTTGGGACACTCTGTAGTCTATTTTGAATGTCTGTACAAAAGTACAATATTATGATGGTATACCTCATAAAATAGCTTCTCCAATTTACTTGCAAAATATTGAAAAAAAAGAAATCACCGGGCAATGTCTTACAGTTATAACAATTTCACAGGTGTTTACTCGGATTAATTATCCAGTGTCAGTGTGACATTACAGAATTTCCGGATTTATACACAGACAAACACTTTGAACTTTTTGTTGCTTATAAGTTTGAAAAGTAGAAATTCTAGAGAAGCTAGATTGACCATTGAAGTTGCATTATTATCTGATTGGTTTCAATGTTGTTTTTTAACCATAACATGCTTGTGATTCACTAAAAATTACAATTTCTATTTGACCCACTTTTTAAAAGCTGATTTTTAGCCGATCCCCATTCTCCCATATTCTATGTTTCGAATAACATTCTACTGTATTAGCTGTTCCAGTAAGCGATGCATCCTCATGGAAAAAAGAAAATGTTTCAACACAAATCAATACTTTGTACAATTATTCAAAATACAACAACTTTTTGATTTCATTGTAACCTGATTTCATTGTTTTGTTTATGGGATACAAGACACAACCTTAAGACATTCTTACAATATAATTCAAATATATACATACAGTTTATATAATATATAAATGTATTGTAATACTATACAATAAATCAATTAAAATTCTCACATTATATGTGAACAAATAAATAATTTACGATTAAATTTTTTATACAGCAACAAAATTTATATGTAAATTCTACAATAAAACCTGTGTTTATGAACGAGGTCAACATCTATTTTGACACAATCTGAAAAAATGCTACCTTTAGTTGATATTCTACTAATAATACCATAAAGATTTTTTATTTTTCTGTTAATTCAATAAAACAGGTTTTACTGTATGGCTGTACACAGTTACAATTTAAAATTAATTTCTGAAAGCCAGACCCTGTGTAAGGTTATTCAACATTGCTTTGAAACAGTATGAAAGCAGCAACCTCCATTGGTGGCCATCAATTGAAATGCAACATGAAATACAACTGAAACAGATCTCTATTTAAAGTGAATGCATCAACATCGTTGTAGCCTGGCAAAAAATGGCTTTCAAAAATTTACAGATAATAGCATTTTTTCAATTAAACCCTAAGTCATGAATTTTATTTCCACTTTTCCCCATATGCTTCTTCAATTTAGATCCTGGGTATTCTGTATTTTGAAAGCAGCTCTGTTAATTACTGCAAAGCTGTGGCAAAATATATACAGGCCCGTAACCAGGGGGGGGGGGAGCGGAGGGAGCGACCGCTCAGAAATTCTTTCAAAATCATGCAGTTTTTCACCATTCTGAGCACTTTTCACACAATTTGTTGCCAAAGCTGTCAAAAAGCTCCCCCACTTGTCACAAATCCGGCAATTCCCCCCCTGTTAAAACTGCTCCCCCCCCAGGTAAATCCAGGCTACAGGCCTGATAAATATACATATACTTCTATGAAACCATAAGAATAACATTCTTTCATATTTTGATGTAATCAACATTTCATGATTATTTTTTCAATTTAAATAATCAAATATAAACTTGTGGCATTTCAGTATAAAGATAGTCAGAAAAGTAGAATCCAATGATGTTTTTTGAATATTTCTGAAAGCTGAAAAATTCAAAATAAGTAAATGAAAAATATCTAGTTAAAAAATTGCGTTGCTCGATGAAGGGATGAATATCTTGGTACAATAGCAATGTATACTGTCCAGGTGTATTATGGAACTTTAAAGAGAAAAAGAAAAATCAGTGTCATTACAATGTATAGTCCTTCATCTCTAAATATATTAATCATAAAAATTCACGAACATGTTTATAATATCTATGATATCACATGCATCAGTGATCTCCTCAGGATTTTTCTCAAGTGGATGCAAAATTCTCATATTCACAATTTACTCAAAAATTGGTCAAATATGCCAATCTTTCACGATTTTTCTCATTTTCAAGTGGATGCATATGGATTTCCAGGTGGGTGCAAGCCTATTTTCAAAGTCTCAGGTGGGTGCTGCACACACTTGCTTTAATGCTGGGGAGATCACTGTGCATGTTATGCCACATATTCTTTCTAAAATACCCTGTCTCAATATTCACTCCATTTAAAGTGCATACAAACGCACATCATCTGATAACTAGACAAAATTCTAGCTTTAATCAACCCGTAACACTTTAACACCCCCCCCCCCCCCCATCTATTTGAGACATTTCTTTGTTCAATCCAAAAGATGCCATCTTTAAAAAGATGAATATTCATGTCAAGATGATTTAGTTCTTTTAAGATTAGCTAGTAAAGTACCATGCTGAATTGGGTAATCATGTAGTCATACATCAAGTTCCCCCTCTATCAAGTACCCCCCCCCCCCCCTTTATTTAGTTTCTTACACAGGCTTGGCAAGAAAACTGATAGGGGGATGGGTGAACAGAGATGTAATACTTTACTCTAAATGATAGGCCATTCAATATGGTCAAATTCAGCACGAGTTGGACAGAATGTCCTACAACGCACAAACCGAAGGTGAGTGCATTTGTACTAACATTTTGTCCGAGTGTAGAATTTCACCATATTGAATGGCCTATCATTATTTATTCCGATTCAAACATGAAAATGAAAACCTTGTTCAGAGAATTGGGTATTGAGATTGAAATAACCCAACTCGTTGTTATTTTCGCCATTCCCAGGTGTGACGTCATAACACAACACAATACCATGTACATAGATTCCTGGAAGCAGATTAAATAGAGCACGATTGTGCATGTATGGAGAAATAATGAACGTTCATTATTGGCTATGCTGCATTCTGATTGGCTGAGAAGTTCAATTAGAGCACGGTCATGTTTGAATCAGTCATGATTATAATGCACTGCTTTATATATCAACACAAAACCAAACTGGTCAAACTTCAAGCTTCAGTAAAAGTTATCACGTATGTTCGATGGATTTTCTCGTACGTTTTCTCGGGCCTGAAACATCCCAATCTGTGTTGACTTTACTACGTTTTAAATCCACCTGGGACTGGGCTGTCAATTGTAGCTTTATCGCACTAGCATTCAACTTTCCTTCAACCTTCAATAAGTCCTTCAATCCCTTCATTTTCTGGCTAGTCAATGTCACGCTAACGTGATGTTTTGAATGTGTGTTATTATTCGGGGAATCCGATTCTGTTTTAAAGATGCCCGATTTCTTGATAAGCAACATTTCTGCGGGACTATCTGCCTGAAGCATTGTATCGACAGTTAATCCAGGGAATGGCGAGCTGCTTGACGTTGAACTTAAGAACTCCTTATAATCAACCTTAGTCTCTGACGTATTAGCGAATGGACTTGTTGTGTCACCCCCGCCTAATAAAAACTCTGGGTTCAAGATTGATTCCCCGCACGCCTGCGCCAGCGCAGCTATATTTGGGTTAGGGGTATCATTTTGAGATTCTGAGGAGCTAACCTTACTCGCTAATTCACGAATTGTGCTTCGGATTTTTTCCTCATCAGCTCCGCCATTGGCATGGGGTGGGGGTGTGGGGCCATCATTTTCGGGTGCCTTAATGGTGATATCTGGGGGTGGAGGAAGGGGACTTGGGGGTTTACTATCTATCTCTGTATCACTTCCATCCTTCTCATCTTCTTCTTCCTCCCCCTCAGCATGTACCTCCAGGTAAATCCAGGCTACAGGCCTGATAAATATACATATACTTCTATGAAACCATAAGAATAACATTCTTTCATATTTTGATGTAATCAACATTTCATGATTATTTTTTCAATTTAAATAATCAAATATAAACTTGTGGCATTTCAGTATAAAGATAGTCAGAAAAGTAGAATCCAATGATGTTTTTTGAATATTTCTGAAAGCTGAAAAATTCAAAATAAGTAAATGAAAAATATCTAGTTAAAAAATTGCGTTGCTCGATGAAGGGATGAATATCTTGGTACAATAGCAATGTATACTGTCCAGGTGTATTATGGAACTTTAAAGAGAAAAAGAAAAATCAGTGTCATTACAATGTATAGTCCTTCATCTCTAAATATATTAATCATAAAAATTCACGAACATGTTTATAATATCTATGATATCACATGCATCAGTGATCTCCTCAGGATTTTTCTCAAGTGGATGCAAAATTCTCATATTCACAATTTACTCAAAAATTGGTCAAATATGCCAATCTTTCACGATTTTTCTCATTTTCAAGTGGATGCATATGGATTTCCAGGTGGGTGCAAGCCTATTTTCAAAGTCTCAGGTGGGTGCTGCACACACTTGCTTTAATGCTGGGGAGATCACTGTGCATGTTATGCCACATATTCTTTCTAAAATACCCTGTCTCAATATTCACTCCATTTAAAGTGCATACAAACGCACATCATCTGATAACTAGACAAAATTCTAGCTTTAATCAACCCGTAACACTTTAACACCCCCCCCCCATCTATTTGAGACATTTCTTTGTTCAATCCAAAAGATGCCATCTTTAAAAAGATGAATATTCATGTCAAGATGATTTAGTTCTTTTAAGATTAGCTAGTAAAGTACCATGCTGAATTGGGTAATCATGTAGTCATACATCAAGTTCCCCCTCTATCAAGTACCCCCCCCCCCTTTATTTAGTTTCTTACACAGGCTTGGCAAGAAAACTGATAGGGGGATGGGTGAACAGAGATGTAATACTTTACTCTAAATGATAGGCCATTCAATATGGTCAAATTCAGCACGAGTTGGACAGAATGTCCTACAACGCACAAACCGAAGGTGAGTGCATTTGTACTAACATTTTGTCCGAGTGTAGAATTTCACCATATTGAATGGCCTATCATTATTTATTCCGATTCAAACATGAAAATGAAAACCTTGTTCAGAGAATTGGGTATTGAGATTGAAATAACCCAACTCGTTGTTATTTTCGCCATTCCCAGGTGTGACGTCATAACACAACACAATACCATGTACATAGATTCCTGGAAGCAGATTAAATAGAGCACGATTGTGCATGTATGGAGAAATAATGAACGTTCATTATTGGCTATGCTGCATTCTGATTGGCTGAGAAGTTCAATTAGAGCACGGTCATGTTTGAATCAGTCATGATTATAATGCACTGCTTTATATATCAACACAAAACCAAACTGGTCAAACTTCAAGCTTCAGTAAAAGTTATCACGTATGTTCGATGGATTTTCTCGTACGTTTTCTCGGGCCTGAAACATCCCAATCTGTGTTGACTTTACTACGTTTTAAATCCACCTGGGACTGGGCTGTCAATTGTAGCTTTATCGCACTAGCATTCAACTTTCCTTCAACCTTCAATAAGTCCTTCAATCCCTTCATTTTCTGGCTAGTCAATGTCACGCTAACGTGATGTTTTGAATGTGTGTTATTATTCGGGGAATCCGATTCTGTTTTAAAGATGCCCGATTTCTTGATAAGCAACATTTCTGCGGGACTATCTGCCTGAAGCATTGTATCGACAGTTAATCCAGGGAATGGCGAGCTGCTTGACGTTGAACTTAAGAACTCCTTATAATCAACCTTAGTCTCTGACGTATTAGCGAATGGACTTGTTGTGTCACCCCCGCCTAATAAAAACTCTGGGTTCAAGATTGATTCCCCGCACGCCTGCGCCAGCGCAGCTATATTTGGGTTAGGGGTATCATTTTGAGATTCTGAGGAGCTAACCTTACTCGCTAATTCACGAATTGTGCTTCGGATTTTTTCCTCATCAGCTCCGCCATTGGCATGGGGTGGGGGTGTGGGGCCATCATTTTCGGGTGCCTTAATGGTGATATCTGGGGGTGGAGGAAGGGGACTTGGGGGTTTACTATCTATCTCTGTATCACTTCCATCCTTCTCATCTTCTTCTTCCTCCCCCTCAGCATGTACCTCAATTTTCCCGCGCACCCCCGCTTCAAATTTTGACAAGCAAAAAATCATATTCTTGGCCCACCCGATATGCAACACTGGAGTTTGAGAGCCTTCTTCCCAACCACATATTCCATCGAAAAGTCGCAATAAGTTCACGTAACATTCAGGGTCGCTCAGAAATCCTCTTTGTCCATCAACCGCCCCAACGGCGGCCATTTTGCAAATGTGTGGCAAAAGCTCGTTATTTATCTCCATGAATTCTTTATAAACCTCCTCATCTTCGCGTGTGTAGTTATATCTGAAAAAATTAAAAATTAAGTAATTCATTCAAAATACTTGTATGCAAAGAAATGCAAAAATGTAGTCCTTGGGCCAAAATAGAGTAAACTTTAGTTGGTACAGCAGCAGGCTCTTTCAGAATTAGCATATATTAGAGATTTTTCAAAATCAAAACTTTTGATAAAAGATTAAACATGACTTAGATGACATGTATCTTTCAATTGATAAAGCACTTACCTCTTGATGGTCTGCGTAGCGTCAGCCCAACAGCTAAGTGCTTGACTGTATAGGCCCTGCCTGTAGTAGTACCCCCCTAGATATGTATGGGGGTAGACATGGGCCCCTGCGTAGTGACGTCTAGCTACATCTATAGCTTGCTGGAAGAGGGCAAGGGGAGGGGGACGACCAGGAGATGGGCAAATCTCCTCTAAGTCACCTAGGTTGCCAAGAGACATGGGGTACCTGCAATGATGGTTAAAACATTAAGGTGGGACTAGGAAGATATTATCACAATAAATTAATATAATATCAAGGTGGGACTTCAAAACAAATTAACATCAAGGTGGAACTAGAAGGAAAATTGACATTAAGGTGGAATTTCATAACAAATTAATATTAAGGAGGAACTAGGAGAAGGAAAATTAACATTAAGGTGGAATTTCATAAAAAATCAACATCAAGGTGGAACTAGGAGAAGGAAAATTGACATTAAGGAGGAATTTCATAACAAATTAATATTAAGGAGGAACTAGGAGAAGGAAAATTAACATTAAGGTGGAATTTCATAAAAAATTAACATCAAGGTGGAACTAGGAGAAGGAAAATTGACATTAAGGTGGAATTTCATAACAAATTAATATTAAGGCGGAACTAGGAGATGGAAAATTGACATTAAGGTGGAATTTTATAACAAATAAATATTAAGGAGGAACTAGGAGAAGGAAAATTGACATTAAGGTGGGACTACATAACAAATTAATATTAAGGCAGAACTAAGGACTTCTCAACAAATCAACATAAGGAGGGGACTAGAAGAACTTTACAACAAATTAAGGCGGGAGTAGGAGCCAGGACTTCTCAACAAATTAACATTAGGGAGGAACTATGAAGACTTCCCAACAAATTAATATTAAGGCGGAACTATGAGGGAACTTAATCATGAATTAACATTAAGGTGGTCCCAGTTAGACCTAATGTCAATGTTCATCTGGGCCTAACTACCAGCTGGTGCATCTCCATAATAGAAACATAAAGCTATTCCTTGTGCACTTATCTACAGCAGGTACTTTATTGATTTGCATGACAAAATACTTGGAATCCAAATCAAAATTGGCTTATATTAATTAAAACCAAAGTCTCATCAATATCAAACAAATCAATATCAACAATCTCGGATGATGACATTTTGAATCATCCCGCTGTAGACCAGTGGTTTCACTTGAATATCTTGACAACAGTCAAACAGATGAAAATGACACACAAAATTGATGGTAATTGTAATTCAAACATTAAAACAAGCAAAGAAATCAGCCTGTTGCTTGCTGATTATGAAACTCAAGGCATTGCAAATATTTACATTGACTCCTATTACAAATAATGCATCGTTTTATTTGTGATTACATCAATTGCTTTCTTGAAACAATGGTGTCCAATTTATTTTAATCGATTTTTCTAAATTATGAATTGAACAACTTGCACAAATAATCCACCAAAAGGTGCTCAAAACAGTTTTGTTTAGATTGCGAACAATTTTCAAACAAGGCATTAAAATGTAGAATGTCACCACCTGCCATTTGTTACAAACACCAAATGCTGAACACCAACCACCAAACACCAACTGCCACCACAAAAAAGTTGGGGACTACAACAATATGTCACCATGACGCAAACTGCATATTTTCTCCATTTTTGTAAAAATATAATGACCCTTGCTCTATTTTAAAAAAATTCAGAATGAAGAGACCGATATAGAGTGAGGCAAAAGAGGTTAATGAAAATCAGAGTGAGGTGCTTTGCCTCAATCTAAAAGCCTCGTGAATAGCCTCATCATTCAGCATAGAGATAATATAAAATTGCCTCACCTTGCGAGATGTCCCAAGTCATACAGTAACCATAGCAACTCCTAAAACAAAAAACAAACATGCATCATAATATATCATATAAACACAAACAATATCATTTTTACAGATACAATTTGGGCAGATAATATAGGCGAATGAAACTTATATGCCATGGTCAGGTTATGAATTAACATATTTTTAAGATTTGTCTTTTTGCAGTGCATGTGATAACAATCCTGTTTACCCTATCTGAATCCAATCATAGATTGATGTACAAAGATTTGTCTAATATTACATCAACTGATACACAGAGACAAGTCTAATGTTACATCAATTGAGAGGTCAACACATTGTTTTCGATCTCAGGCCATTTGACAGGACTACCAAATTGGTACCATGGATTTTGTAAGATAAAAGATGTTTTGATTATTTTCATCTTTTTGTTACATATTCAAATCAATTTGAGTATCTGCTAAGTGGTGTTTTGTCTGATGCTGTCCCTTTTGAAATTTGAAGGTTCATTAACTTAAATCATCTTGACCTCTTGTCAACCTCTATGGTCAAACTCCTCCCCTGGGTATGCTGCATTACATATTACATAGGTAACAGATAATCCATTGTGAAAGTGATATTCTATTGTTTAATGCATTGTACCTAGATTGATTGTAGCCAGCTCAATTAGCATGCAGAGATTCTGAATCATTGAATTAATATTGAAATTTGACCCTGAATAGAATAATAAGATCATGTATCATAAGATTCTTGTATAATCATGAAGACTTAAGATAATGTGGTCAAGAAAAGGAAGATATCAAAAAATTCAGGATTTGAAAAATAAAATGATGAACCTCATTTTTTAAGAATTTCCAAATCGACAACTTGGTGTAGACATTCACATTCATAACTGGATGTAACAGTTTGTCTGATTGGCAACACTGAAATTTAAAACCTTTGCCAAAATGAAAGTACAGTAAAACCTGTCTAATATGAACGCCTCTGGGACCAGCTAAAAATGTTCAGAATACCAGCTGTTCACATTTCAAGGTTTTTTCAACATGTAGCTCAATGAGAGATAAAGATTTATGGTCGAGAAAAAGTGTTCACATTGAGAGGTATTCAAATAAGAGAGGTGTTCCAATATACATGTTTCACTGTATGCACATCTTAAGATTTGCTAACCTTAATTAATCAGTCAATGTATTCAATGCCAAATTGATTAATTAATTGGCACCAAACGGATATATATCACGGTGTCCGATACTACCCAACGTAAATCGTTCCGGACTTGTTTTTCATAACCATTGGGACTTGATTTATGGAAAGAAGTAGAGGTAGGTTTGTAAATTTGGTTATGAAATTGCTTTCACTTGACTTTATGTAAATATAATACAATTAGATAACATACCATACTATATACCCTATATTCAGGCACCCGCAAACGCCTTTTTTGTACGAAACGTTTGCTATAGTCTTGTTATTTCGGGATGTGAGCGATTCTGCCAGTGTTTTCACCTATTTTGCTGATAATCACCAGCCTGCCTTGTATCCTATGAATACACCGATTTATAATGAAAGTAGCCATATTGTGAACGAAAATCATGATTTAAAATCGTTTAAATGAGTAGCAATTGTCGAAAGATCATTTTCATTTTAGATTTAACCATTTGGACTTGACCTAAATATTCCAGTTAATGACGTTGACTTGTTATTGGAACGTTTCTGACTTGTGTTATTGGAACGTTTCTGACTTGTAGAACACAATGAACCATTTTTAAGTGTGGAACAGCTCCATAAACTTTATAGATTTCCAACAAATCATCATCTGAGTGGATGAGGACAGTGGAAGAAGTTGTCTGAATGATACTATCTAAATGATCATCATTAATTAAACGTATTAAGAGATATTTGTCAAGGTTGAATTAGGGAATCATTACAGATACATGTTCTTTACTTGATACTTTCAAGGGGCAAGAATGCATGTAGAGAGAAAAGTTGATTTTTACTTTTTCTTGTGTTTTGCCTCTTCGCTTTTTTAAGGACTTCACTCGTCGCTATTTTTAATTTGCCTATGAAAAATGTGAGCATACGTTTGCCTCAAATAAGACTTTAAAACGCCCTTATTGGCTTTAAACGTACTTCCATGCTTATATTAATGCTAAGCAAGAAGTTAAGTGAAAGTTGAGAAGAAATAATTAGTTTTAATCGTTATTTACTGTTAAAAATCTGAAGAGGACTTGGTTCAACGTATTCTTCCTCCTTTATCGAGGTACCATCATTAATCACAATTTATCACACATCCGGAATCCATAATCCTGTGTTTTGTAACGCCATATGCCTTTATCACGAAAAGGGACGTCAAGCCTGAATAAATCGGAGGGGTGGTCCCTCTTGAAGTGTTCAAAGAATATATTTTTATATGCACTTTTAAAAGTGCATTCGTGGCACTTGTTTCTGGGAACTGAAATTACAAAATGTGTGAATATTTAGTACCAGAACTCCTCTAAAACATAATCATACTAAGTGCAATTTTTCCAGAAGCATAGACAATTCATCAAGCAACGAAACGTATAAATACCATTACAAGACAATTCCCAATCGTTGTTTGTATCACGTTGTGTACAATTCGCAGTCGTTCACCTAGTGATTATAAGACAAGTCCGTGTCAGAATAACGACCATTCGCCGTCGTTAACTCCAACTTTAACATTACGGTCATTTATGGAAATTTGAAGGTACAGATAGTTCAAATATTAACACAATCTTTAATGTAGTGAATATTGTTCCACGTTGTAAAGTGATTTTTTTGTTTAAACATAGTTAAATGACACTAATGCAGATTTAGAGCATATTTCTGGCATTTTTGTTATTTAATGCCGATAAATATGAACTATGGTGGCACGATCGCCAAAATAGATATGTGGGAATGAAAAAGAATGTTTCAGGTAGAAGTTAGTGTATGTATTTTTCTAAACGATTGAATTATATTACCTTTTTGAGCCATTCTGATAAATGTCTCATCTCATTCTCCTACGAAATCAAGTACAAATGGTTATGAAAAACAAGTCCGGAACGATTTACGTTGGGTAGTATCGGACACCGTGTATATGATGCTTGTCTATTGTCTCACTTTACTAAGGTACATTCAGGTGATTCTAACAGTTGGCTTTATTGATTCATCAGGATGTATTAGGCATTCAAACATGACTGTATTCATGCCTTCTTTAAACTGTAAACAAAGTCAACATTTCACCCGGGATAAATTCGCGAACAATACCCCTGGTAATACGTGTAATGTGTGATGTCATAACGGCGGGCCGTAGTAAATCTCGTCACTCAAGTTTGGTTGACTTATTGCATTAACAAATTCAGGATGACTATGTGGTTCAAAACTCATGAAAGGCATTTACATGCAAAATGTGTCCACCTGCCATTTGTTACAAATGCCAACCGCCGAACACCAACTTCCAAACACTGTCCACAAAAAAGTTAGGGACTAGATCAATATGTCACCACTTGTGGTGGTGACATAAAAATGCTGTGTTCTACATCTTGTATGTCCATGTATGAGGGTTGATCATAAAGTTCTCATAATATCTCTCTAATTTTTTTATTGTATGATCAACCCTCGTATGATCATACATGACAAAACACATTTGGGCTCCTACCACTGGATGATTCCAGGGTCTGTCATCCATTAGATGTGCAAATCGTAACTGTAAAATATGCAATATACACTGGCGGATTAGGGGGGCCCGGGCCCCCCCCCTTGGGTGGCCCCAAAAAGTGGGCCTTTTTGGTCATTACTGGGCCTTTTAAGGCCTTATTTTTTAATTTCAGGCTAAATTTTGAAGAAAATGGGCCCAAAATTTTTTTTCGCGCAAGCGTGGACGTTTTTTTCTCTGACCTGAAATTTGGGCCCCCCCCCCTTTGTTGGTTCCTAGATCCGCCCCTGATATATGCTCAAAAGATCTCAACTCCCTTTGTGGTAAACAAAAATACAATACATCTACTTAATATGTGGTAATAATGCTAAGTGTGTTAAGTGCCCAGGTGATAATTAGACCTCATACCACAAAGTAAAATTCTGTGTGCAAAGTGATTCACAGATTTTTTCAATAGAATCGAGAATATGTTTGATATTACGGCTCATAACATATCAGAACAAGACATTAACATGAAAATGTCACCACCTACCATTTATTACAGACACCTAACTCTGAATGCCAACTGCCAAACAACATCCACAAAAAAGTTGGAAACTCTAACAATAGCTCTCCATTTATGGTGGTGACGTAATAAAAATGAAGGTTACAAACTTCAAGCAACTACCAGAGATACAATCTGTAGAGGCCTTCCAAAAGTCTGATCAAAAATCCAGCCATCCAATCAGAATGATAGTTAAAGGATGGTATGCCTCCAAAGGTATCTGTCACTAATTTCCCATCCCCGTCTCAAACGTGCACTCATTTCGAGGAATCTTTATCAAATTGTTTTGACTATTCGACTCGGAGGTAAATTGAGAGTAAGTTTCTAAAAAGGCATTAACTTGCAAAATGTCACCACCTGCCATTTGTTACAGACACCAACCGCCAGACTTTGTAAGGATTACATTGGCAAAATTTTTGAAAAAACTGCTTTGAATATTTTACACTATCTCATCTTCATGTACTCCCAAAACCAAAACCATCTCAAACATACCTGTTGAAGAGAACCCATTTCTAGACTGTCAGTGGTTGCATTGATTGAAGGATTGATCCCTGACACCATGGCCGCAACCTCCATATGGCGACTACATTTCACTGGGTGTCCATTTAGATAAAGCCAGCTTTTCTCTGCCACCCCTAGACATATCGGCTGCCCTCTCTTGTCCTCATTTCCTTTGCCTATAAGTATAAAATTTCATACAGAAAACTTGGATGAGAGGATTGTCTTTGGTTTTACCTCATAATAGTATTCTCACCTCATAATAGTATTCTCACCTCATAAGAGTATTCTCACCTCATAATAGTATCCTTACCTCAAAACAGTATTCTCACCTCATAATAGTATTCTCACCTCATAATAGTATCCTTACCTCAAAATAGTATTCTCACCTCATAATAGTATTCTTACCTCATAATAGTATTCTTACTTCATAAAAGTATCCTTACCTCAAAATAGTATTCTCACCTCATAATAGTATCCTTACCTCAAAATAGTATTCTCACCTCATAAGAGTATTCTCACCTCATAATAGTATTCTTACCTCATAATTATAGTATTCTTACCTCATAATAGTATTCTTACCTCATAAAAGTATTCCGCTTCTTAAGAGTTCAACTTGCAGAGGTTCATGTAAATTAATCTTAAAGGGGCAATAAGGACTGTAGGGAAAATAGGAAAGTTTTTTCATTTTTTCTGAGCTATCAAGGCAACATTTGGTTTAACATCTTCTTTGACATACCTATTTTCTTAAAATGTATGGATAAATTATCAATTTCAGCATTAAGAAGTGTAAATTCAGTTCAAAGCTTCAAAAAGGGGACGTCCACTTTTATATTTTTAAGATCCACCATGTCTCAAGAGACAAAATAGATGTTAGTCTTGATGAAATATCCAAACTTAAATATATTTTGACACTGGTACTTTTACGGAACATCAATGTAACAAAATGAATGAACTTCCTGGTTAAATGTTTTTTTTTGTTTTCTCGATTTAAACCTACATATAAGTCAAGTTGCAGATTATAATTTGGCACAAAGCTAGAAAACATAGTCTTGCTTTTATAAGTTTCTTCGATTTGGAATTAATTTTGTTAATGGACATATATTTGGTCCCTCGCTTTTGTTACATTGTCGAAAGTCAGATTGACAAACCTTTTATGAAGGCCATGCATTATCTTATGGAGTTCATTATTTGAATTCAAAATCAAAATTTTGTTAACAGGCCTACCGTGCCACGTGACTTCTGCAGTCTCCTGCCCATGTTCTCCGAAGATGACCCAGGCATGGTCCTCTGATAATGCTAAGTGGACGTCACGATATCCCATCACCTGGCATGCGACAACAACTGCCAATGCAACACCAAAGCAATCCAGCTTGCATCCTGAAAGTACAGATATAGAGATCACTGCATGGAATGACACTAACTGAAACACTGAGGCATTTTAAAAATTTGGACAATATCTCTTCGATTAAAATGTAAAATTATTTTATGGCAGTAAAAATAGAGAGAGTTATACAAGTAAATATATCACATTATCAGATTAAATGTGGAAGTTTTTGAGGATTTAAGTCATAATAATGAGAAGCAGAAATGTACATATACAGTTAAACTTGTGTATATTGAACAGGTGTTCACTAAGACAGGTTTTACTGTATCACAAAATTACCTTAAAAACCATAGTATCATCAGGAAACAATTTCAGAATTCATGGACTGAGAAAATAAATAAATTAAATGTTTTGTAGGATTATGACAACATCTTTTAAAAAAATCCTCAACTTGTCTTTGGCACATGCAAATATGTTTACTATTTACTACTGCAATCTACTTTTGTTCATGACTTTGAAAGTTATTTTAGATATTTTGAAAACAATTTTATGATATAAAAGTTCTAATTAAAATGGCACTGAATGTTTCTAAATCTGCTAAATTTTTAAAAATGATAGTAAACAATAATTGGTTATTTTCACCAGCACTTGTAACAAGCAGGCGAAAAATATCATAATTGACAATTAAAGACCAATCCTTCATAAGCTAAGTGATAACAAGGGTTTGTCAACAGCTTCGCAAACATATCACAGGGGTCTTGGTTAGGGGTACCGCGAGCGCTCGAGTGCTCGAGCGCTCGAGCAATTCACCTCCGATACGAGCTGTATCGATACATAAAATGAATATCGGTCGTATCGTTTTTTGACCGGAAGTCCCTTCTTGAAGGGAAAAACTTGGCGCTTAGCGATGACAGACAGTCATAGTAATTACATATCTTGCTTGCCACCTTCGTTTGCCCCTCTAGTTCCCGAATACCACACGTCGTTAAGATGTTTTAATCGATGTTAGCATATTTTACACCTTTCTTTGTCGTGATGTGAAATAAATGTAATCCGGCTGAAGTACTTCCGGCTTTACAAGTTTGAAGACCAATTAAATAAAGTTCAGTTTTACTTCAATTTACGATGTATCATTGTATCGTATCGTTCGTATCGTATCGTGAGGTAAGTATCGTAGATACGTATCGATATTCAATTTCTCGTATCGTGGTACCCCTAGTCTTGGTGTCCTCTGCTAGATTTCAAAAATTGGGTACTAACCCTGGGTTCTAACATAAGTCCACGTAAACTTAAAGGGAGTGTCTTATACTGGTCAAAATATCAAGACTTTCATAATAAACGTGTGCAAGATTTTGTTAATTGTTATTTAACAGGATGACATGCTGCATCAATGCAAATCCATGATTTATCAGCTGTACAACTAATAATTACATAAAAGTGATCCATGCCTGTAGCTCAAGGAAAGGGGTTGTGAGAGCCCCCCCCCCTAAGTAATGAAAAATATTCCCCAGTATTTTTGTTACCTATATTTTCTGGAAAAGGATTCTTTTTGAGAATGATTAGAGAAGATTTATTTACTTCCAAAACTAAGAACATTTCAAGCAATTTTGAGAAGCTAATTTTGAGGTCTGGTGAAAAATACTGTTTTTTCCTGACAGTTAGAGAAAAATGCAAATACATATCTACTCTTGCTGACACCCAGATAAAAAATAAGGAGGGGGGATACTTGTGGTACTGAACTAAACTCAATATAGATAAGCCACGCAAGGTCAAAGAGTCACAACCGTCTCGTTTACATCCTTTAAACAAAATCTGTGGTTAACCTGACAAATGAAAACCACTTTAAAACCACAAAGCTACAGACAGGGTTCTGCAAAATGGTTAAAGTCAGATCTAGGCATGGACTCATGATGAAACATCAATACAATAATTTCCAGATAATTATTAAATAAACAACAATTCACACGCTGCTAAGATCAGAAACAAATGTTAGATGTCAAGCTTCTGATCGGGTCAGCTTGACATCAAATGCCTGCATAAATGCATGAGTTACTTGAAAGATAATTGATATTTAAGCAGAGCTCTGTTACAACTGCGTAATAACAAAATCTCCTACAGCATCAAAAACAATTATCTGCAAAGCTGCGATGATTCAGAATTATCTGTTGTGATCAATAGCGCATTAAATTGCAGTTAACGTATTTAACATTGCCTTTGGAGCATGATTCACTAATTACCAGAAACAGGATGTTTTGATAAAAAGTTTCTTTAGCTCATATTTATAATTGGCAACTTGCCAAATTTATTCCACATGTTTTTGTACCTGTCAAATAACTGTACAGTGATTGTATATGCGCTTTATCTTTGTAATAACTTCTTGTCAATGTGTTCCAGACTGTATCTGATATTCTTTTGACAATATCCCTTGTTGCAAACTTCTCGGAGAACTCTGACAAATCGACAGAACCCTTTATTAATGTCACAAACTTTTCGTGCAGAGCCTCAACAGTGCTCAACTCCAAAATTGGGAATATTGGTTCGATTGTCCTTTCACATTCAGCCTCGTTTGGGAGCGCCCTGTTCACTGTCAGTGTATTTTCTATTGCCCCAAGAACGATGGATAATATGGCAAGGTTTGGTTCACCATCTCGGGTCAGCTCGCTTCTGAATAACTCCACTACATCTTGAATATTTTGCAGCGGGAAATGCGTTTTCAGCAAATCGGCAATCACCATCTTGGAATCTGCTAATGACGTCAGCAGGTGCCCGAAATCAAACTATTCTTATTTTATAGATTTATTGTCCAATAAAGACGCTAAATTAGTGTCAGTTCATGAAATAAACAAATTTTGTTTATTTAAATATCAAATATTATGTTTTATCGAGTGTTACTACAAATTAATTCATCAAATGCAAATTGTCACTGCGAGACTATTTTGAACCGGAAATGAAAATAATCCAACATGGAAAATTCTGAAAATTCTTCAGCCGCAAATAATTCCGAAAATGCGCCTGCTGTAGCCAACGGAGCAGCCCCTCCTGCTGCTGGTGCTGAGGTAATGTATCTCTGATATAGTCTGATGTATTTTCCACTTGTGAATCAGAGTCTGTTGTCAATGATCGATCATTTCTGCTGAATCATTTTGTGAATAATTTTTTTCTTTCTCACTCATCATCAAAATTGATGATGAGACAGAAAACAATTATTCACCAAATGATTCAGATATTTCATCGTTGTTTGAATATTCCATTTTGATAATCAACTATTCCCCAAAGTGCGTATTACTTTTTTCTTGATAAAACATTTATTTTCGTTTCAAGGATCTAGTTTAGACAAAGGAGTGGCAACACCCCTTTTTCTACTCTCTGTTAAGCATGATAAAAGGCAAGATGTTTAGCTAGAAATATAAGAGTTATCTCATGAATGGGACCCTTACATGGCTCCTAAAAGGTAGAAGACACTAAATAGTGTAACACTGTAAGCTGAATTTTGTCCACATAGAGCATGAGCACAATTTCAAAGACATATAAAATTGAACTGTCAAAAGAACTGAAATAAACTTACCAGCTCGCCTCTTTCGGAAGTTATGATATGTTATGGAGTAACTCCGGTAATTAATTTCAAAATATTGAAACAATCACAAAATACAAGTTCTGAGGTATATATCGCCATGTTCAAGCGAATTAGCCCATATTATGACTATGTATCCGCACCCCATGTATATAAACTTCATCTTCACAATATGTTGAGCTTCTTTCAAATTTCTGTTTTTAAGATAAGTGCCATTTTCTTACAATTCAAACCTCAAAAACAGTTGGAAAGTGCTTCCCAGGTGAGGTTAATGGCTTCTATACTTCCTTTAATGTATGGAGCACTTAAGATGTAGTTAGAATCGTATAAATAGCTCTATTCTGTGAGATTTATTTTTGTTCTTATTTTTACATTTTCTCATCTCATATTTGAAGAGCTCCGCTGTTGACCTACATTCAGTTACACGTATTTCCTTGAAAATTTGCCATGATTCGAACAAATGATGGTTGGTTCATGTTATATTAATTTAGTTTGTATTTGAATCTGCTACTGAATTAGAAAACATGTCTTCATGTTATGCTGAAGAGCAGAGATCGCGAATTCTAGGTGAAGCCAATTATTTTGCACAAGTCATATCCTGATTGCATCATAGTTACTTTGCACTTGTCACATCCTGATTGCATCAGCCAATTCACGTGATTTAGGTAGGAGGTTCCATATCCATCCGCCAAAAGGTCAATTTAAAAATGTCCATTTAAAAACCTGTAGTATTGTTCTAAATAACGCCATAGTTTGCTTCTAGGGTACCTAGTATGCCACTATTTGGTATCAAAATAAAGAGGAGGAGTTCAACTTTCATTTGAAGTACGCAAATTGCTATGTAGGTCAAAATAGTTCCGACGTGAACATGTTTACTACGCGTTTGCACGTCATATCAGAATTGAGGAAGTGGTAGCAAACGTGAGTTACAATAAATGGACGCTGATATCTCAAAAAGTAACCTGACTCCCTATAATTTGATGTAGATCCATCGAACCCCTATATGAACAGGTACATTTTGATATATAACACTATGGGGGGTAAGAGTTTTATAGTTGGTCACGAACGCCATATGTGCAAAGTATTGTTATGAATTTTCGAATTTGGTGTTGGATTACGGTACTCATACCGGGTTAACCCAACTAATTGTTATAACATGCGTATTCCCATACAAACGATCTGTCTTCAAGAGAAAACTAAGATTTGTGGACATGTTTTGCTATCATTGCATCATACCCCAGTATGTCCTCTGTCAGTCAAAAAAGTTTGAATCAAAACTCCCCACGAAAATCAAAAGATCTCACCTGTTGAAGACGCCATCTATAGAAAATGTCAAAAAATGTCATTCTGATTTTGACAGATGGAGGCAGGTCAAAAAGGTCAAATTTTTTAAAGAAAATGCACCTTAATCACATCAAATCATGTCTCAGAGTTGGTCCACACATACACTTTTTCATTCATGTACTTACCAAAATCCAACCACTGGTGATGCTAATGTAATTACAATAATTGGACTATATTTTTGTTTTTATAATGCCATCTATTCGTCTTCCCACTCGGCGGAAGGATCTAATGGTTGTGTGTCTCCACCTTTACACCTGGTTTCAATGTACATGTTATGCTACTTCCGGGTAGGGAAGTGTTTTTTATACTTTAAAAATGAAGCCATTTCGATCAGTTTTTATAATCCTCAGTGGAACTAAGAGGTATTACAATACATGTTTAAATTAATACACATGAGTGTATTTGATGAACTCTCAAAAAAACACAAAAATACCTTTTCAATTCACAATTTTATGTCATTGTTTCTATCAAGTTGCCTCTTTCTCTCTTTTCCCTATTTTTGTCAACAGTCAAAATCGGAATTTAAAACTTGGTTTCTTTACAAGCTCTGCTTCTGTAAGTACTAAATAACATGAAAAATGTTAAACCCTACACCCTACATTGATTTGATATGAAATAGGCGATCACTGATATCATTTTTGTGCTGTTGATCTTTTAATTTTTTAGTCAAACTTGATCTCTGTCGATGTGACGTCACACATTAAGTATGCACGCATGCGCAGTACAATAATTAAGGCAATATGGCGTCTTAGGCCTATACAATTCAGAGCCAGAATGGAGGTCTGCAAGTGAAATGAATATGTTTGTTTATGCATCAATCGATCACACATATAATCCAGACAATCTTTCAAATCATATACTTAACATTTTAATGGATTTATTTCTTTTGTGAGCTAATTTAATTTTCATTGGTGAAGCAAGGATTTTACCTAAAATGAGTCCCTGTCTTTGCATACTGATATTTAAAAATAGAGAAACAAAACCTATGTCGAATATATTGTGTATTGATGAAGTTTATATGTGCTTAGGGGAACTCAAAAATATAGTTATTATATCGGCAAATGCGCTCGAAAATAGTGATACACCCTAGAAATTGAATATTGTTGATTTTCTCAATATTTTAGAATGAATTACCGTAGTGACACCATAACCTATCATAACTTCCGGTAGAGGCGAGCTGGTGAGTAATTTCTATTATTTTGACAGTTCAATTTTACATGTCTTTGGTATTGTGCACATGCTCTATGTGGACAAAATTCAGCTTATGGTGTTACACTATTTAGTGTCTTCTACCTTCTAGGAAGTATTTTAGGGTCCCATTCATGAAAAAACTCCTTTATTTCTAACTAAACCTCTTGCTTTTTATCTTGCTTAACAGACAGTAGCACCATTACCTGTGTATAGTATCTTATGTAGATCTAAATTTTGGTAAATTCGCATCTTTTCTTATTTATGAAATTTACCCCACTGATCATATTATGTTGGAACCGGGAGTTAGTAGAGGTGAGCTGAATTGGAGATGGAAATGCTAACTAAGAGTCCATTTCACTGTTTAACTTCGTCAGTAAAAGCTAAAAAATAAGAAATCAAAATATCATTTTGCAATAATATATAGAAAAATATATTCCTATTGTACATGAATGACATTTGTATATCTTGGATTGCTTCTAGTTTAGCTTATGAAGTGTGTGGCCTCTTATATTTGGATGCTTCTCTGCCATGTTATTTTCAATAAGATTAACATGGCTGAAATTCTTCAAATTACAAGACGGCACAGGCTTATGGCACAAAAAACTAAAAAATCTGAAATATACAAATGTCATTCATGTACAATATGAATATACTTTTCCATATATTATTGCACAATGGTCTCCCAATTTCTTATTTTTGCCGTTCTACTGACGAAATGAAGCAGTGAAATGGACTCTATATATTAGGTTTTCTTTTATCGCCTTTCTGAGATAAACTAATTTTTGTTCATCAATTAAAGCATTTCCATCTCCAAATACAATTTTTCCAATATAGAAAACAACTAACCTGAGGACGATGCCTCATATTGGCTAGCTTTTTCGTAGAGGTCTTAAAATCATATCAAACTTCCGTCCATTTTTGAATTTTCAATTCCAGCCGTGTTAGGGTGTTTCACTTCTTGACTTTTTTTTTTCAAATCAAGATGGAGTTTTGCCCAGTTGGCCTCCTGATAAAGGAAAGCAAGCACAAAAAATTTCAACCAAATCTGTTGACGTTAGACCTCCCCCTACCACAATTTTTGATGCCCATTCGCTACCATGTTAATAATCGTCTAAAAATTGCAGAAAGTGTCATTTTCATCATGTTTGAGACCTATGTTCTACCAAAGGCACTTACTTCAGTGATTTTTATTAAAGTCACCTAAACTGCAGAACAATGTGTCTTTGATTTGTGACAACATCTCTTGAGATGGTTTTGTTCCTTCCTTTCTTTCTTCTGAGAGAATAATTGTTTTAAATGGTGATTTATTGTTTATGTATTCATTTATCTCAATGAGCTCTTTGTTAAGATTTGGAATGCTCTAGAATTATTTATAGAAAAACTCTCATCCCCAGAAGAGCAAGTGCTAGATGTTAGGTCTTCAGGTCTCACACCAGAAAGATTCAGGTCTCTATATATCTTGATCATCAAATTATGATCCCCTGGAAATGGGAGAGACTTTAAATCTTTAAATTGCCTTACATACAATGGATTTTTGCAACTTTTAGGAGGCCATAACTATATGATTTGAATATGTAGGGTCCTGAACTTTAAGGGAGGTAAAACCTGATAGCCTGGTCTGCTGCATCTGTAATTTGGAGAATCATAGGTTCTCTAGAATTCATTCTAGCAATGCCCGAATCTTGCTAAAAAAAACTGACTGCATTTCTGATATACATGTACATGTATAGTACATTTTTGAAAATCTATGCTTAAACAATTATTTGCTCAGAAATGAGGCAAGATCTTCTTGTTTTTTAAAGTGAATCCAAAACATATTCAACAACATTTTAGATGAATTTGAGGCAAATCACTGAAGCGCCTTTGGTAGAACATGGGTCTCAAACATGATGAAAATGATGCTTTCTGCAATTTTTAGGCGATCATTAACATGGTAACAAATGGTCATCAAAAAATGTGGTAGGAGGAGGTCTGAACGTCAACGGATTTGGTTGAAATTTTTTGCTCTTGCTTTCCTTTATCAGGAGGCCAACTGGGCAAACTCCACCTTGATTTGAAAAAAAAGTGAATATGAAACACCCTAAGCCACGTCCCCTGAAAGTACTGAGGATTGTGGTTGGTCAATATAAAAAGTTGCAATTTGATTAAGCGATTGAACACATTTTTGGGGGTACTTTGACTGAGTTCATTCACTATTCGACTGGTAACTCATACATGTACAGTTTATCTTATGTTTTAGCAGCAGCAAGGAGTATCATGGCAGTCTACCATCAAGACCCTACTCGTACGATGTGTGATCATCTACTTCATATCCAGCATGTTTCGTGGCAACAAAACACCACCGGCAAATACTTCACCTAGCCAAACTGGACCAACCACCACCTCAAGCAACTTATTCCCAAGAGAAGTCCACATGGACATGTATATGTTTATAAGCGAGGATGAAGACCTCAAAAGTTTTGACGTTGAAGATGCTTGGTGGGTTGAAGAAGATTTGATATATGGAGATTGGACAGGTGGCCCGTTTGGTGATGGATCATATGTCAAAAAAGGTCAAATTGAGGCGAGCGAGTCACTTATGAATAATGGCTCCATATGGCTACATACAATGTTTGTGAGAGATGGAAGAAAACCAAACCCACGAGACAAGAAATTCACAGTGTACAAAAAGAAAAGTAAGGATATTGAAATATAATGCTTGTTGCAATATAATTATAGGATAGTGCCTACTGTTGATTAAGATATACTGGGCCGGCCTCCTACAGTTTATATTGTAGCAGTTTTTGTATTATGTCAGTTAAATAGCCAATTAAAATTTAGAAAAACAAGCACCTGCTTCTTTGCCTTGTTTCAGTATTCAAAATGATAACCATCATTTTATGGATCATATGTTTTTTATAAGCTCTATAAGGGTATAGCAATTTGACTAGTGAATTACATTTAAATTTTTGTTCTGCCAATATACTGGTAATGGTTTTAGTGCCAGATTTTTTTCTTTCTATGCTAGTTCGCCATCTTTTAATAAAAAACCATGTAGATGCTCATCTGGTTCTGTATAGCAAAACAAGGCTAAGGCTGCAATTGGTCTTGACTCCCATTTCTAGAAGTTTAATTTTTGATTTTTTCAGTGCTGAATAAATTCAAGAAACGTAAGTTCCACAAAACTGTTAACTTACTGACGGGGAAAGCAGATGTCCATCCTGATTTGATACCTGTAAGTGACACCTTTATTGATTATTTATTCTATGTTATTTGTTGTTATTATCCCACCGAACGAAGTTCGAGGGGGATATAGAGAAGCCGTCTGTTCGTCCGTCCCTACGTCCGTCCGTTCGTCCGTGTGTCCGGGCGATAACTCCATTTGGTTCAAATTTTATAGGCTTATGCCTTATGTAGGACCTTTGCTCGAGAAGGAATTTTCAATATGGCCACTCAATTCAAAATGGCCGCCATTTTTCGTAAAAAATGTAATCGTTAATAACTCAAATACAAGTTGACGAATTTGGTTCAAATTTTATATGCTGATGCCTAGGGACAAAGGAGTTTCGCTCAAAAAGAGATTTTCAAGATGGCCGCTTAATTTCAAAATGGCAGCCATTTTTCGTAAAAATATGTAATCTTTGATAACTCAAATACCAGTGAACGGATTTGGTTCAAATTTTATATGATGATGTTTAAGGACACAGTAGCTATGTTCTACAAAAATTTTTCAAGATGGCCGCTTAATTTCAAAATGGGGGCAATTTTTCGTAAAAAACGTAATCTTTGATAACTCAAATACTAGTGAACAGATTTGGTTGAAATTTTATATGATTATGCCTAAGGACACAGTAGCTCTGTTCAAGAAATAATTTTCAAGATGGCGGCTGAATTTCAAGATGGCGGCCAATTTTCGTAAAAAACGTAATCTTTGATAACTCATATACCAGTGAACGGATTTGGTTGAAATTTTATATGATGATGCTTAGTGACACAGTTGCTATGTTCGACAAAGAATTTTCAAGATGGCCACTTTATTTCAAAATGACGGCAATTTTTCATTAAAAAAACATAATCTTTGATAACTCAAATACCAGTTAACGGATTGTGGCCATTTTTTGTAAAAAAAACATAAAATTTTGATAACTCTAATACCAGCTAACGGATTTGTTTTAAATTTTATTAGATAATGCCTAGGGACACAATAGCTGTGTTGGAGGAAGAATTTTCAAAATGGCAGCTGAATTTCAAAATGGTTGCCATTATTCTTAATTCAAATTTTATATGCTGATACCTAGGGACACTATAGCTCTGTTCGAGTAAGTTTTCCAAAATGACTGCAGAATTTCAAATGGCTGCTATTTTTAGTAAAAAAGAATGTAATCTTTGATAACTCAAATTTTAATTTATGGATATGGTTTACATTTTATATGTTGATGCTTAGGGACAAACAAGCTTTTCTCAAGAAGGAATTTTCAAGATGGCCACTAATAATCTAAATATGTTTTATTCGGTGGGATTTGCTACTCCGTGGAGTTGCTGTTTTTCTAGTTTGTTTAAGCCTTGTATCCCCCTCCCACTCTCCATATAACATTTGTACCTTTGATACTTTAAGCGTGAAGGCAATGCCCTTTGTTTGAGCTCAAATTATCTATACCTCTTTAAACGAGGGATAATATTCAAGTAAGCTCATATCAAATCAGAACATGTGGTAATATAAGTGGTTAGAAATTCATAACAATTCAGTTTTAGTATACAGTGAAACCTGTAAAGTGGAACGTCTCTCACTGGTGGATCCAGGGGAAGCCATGTGTCCAAAATTTTGTGGGCCTTTATATTCTTTAAAATTTTAACATTCCCATTGATGAGTTTCTCTTTTGATTGTGCCTCTCCTCCACACACATGTTAGAATATGTTAAAATCCCAAATTTTTCCTGACCCATCTTGGACTAAAAATAGGTATTGAAATCAATTTTATAAATAGAAGATATGTATCACCATCATTTCAATAGAAAATATGTATTGATGTAAATTAAGATCTTACCTTCGAGGAGATCTTAGATATTGCATTGTATGCTTCATTATTTTTAGAGTGAAAATGAAACAAGGAAGTCTGAAATTCTGTCTTTCTGGCATCCTAACCTGACGATCAATATAGTGGATGACCAGACCCCCTGGGTGAGAGGCAGTATCCCGCAACCCTTAGACGACTGTAAGTACATGGCTTGTAATTTTTATTTAATCAAAAATGATAGCTGAGATGTGATATAGGAATTTATTTCTTAAAAGTAAAGTAAAATCCAAATAGAAAGTCTTACTATATTTTTTAGATTTCAACAGTTCTCAAAAAGGTAAACTTTATTAACATGGGGTGGGTAACACCACAAGACTTACAATACAAGTTTAGACGTTTATATGAAGTTAAAATTGAAACCCCTATTGACAGCATGGATTTTGTAGAAATGGTTTCCAAATTGTGCAATTTAAGAATTTGACCACATTTCCTGTATTTCAAACATTTTAGTGCTGTTTCTGTATTTTCAGATGTGGAGTTTGTCCCGTTAGCAAGCATGAACAAGTACTACCCCGTGGTCTATTTCAATGAGTACTGGAATCTGAACTTTGACTACATGCCCATAAATGAAACTACCCCCGTGTTGAATCTGACCTTGACATTTACTCCAATTTCACTCTTTAAATGGCAGATGTACGCAGCTCAAGGTAGGATGAAAGTGATACTGTAAAACCTGTCTAAGTGGAACACCTTTGGTACCTCTAAAAAGTGTTCCACTTTGGAGGTGTTGCACTTATAAAGGTTCATTTGATATTAAGATCTTGAGAAACTTAAGTGTTAAATTCTTGAAGGTTAAATATTGAATCATAGCAGAATAAAAGATAAAAAAATTGAATATAAATTTGTGTTTCCTTCTTGATTGATTACATATAAAAATTTTGAATTTCACACAAAAAATATGAAATTTATAAAAAGCTTGAAATATTGTTTTTATTAATGCTGTTACTTTGTATTTAAAAAATGATATAAGGAAAGCCCATATTGTTACTGAAAGCAAATTTAACGTAAAATTGATTTGTTACATAGTTCATCTCAAAGTCCGATGCGTGACTGAAATGATGTTTTTTGTTAATGACTTAGGTATGCGTAACAAATGGTACAGCAGCATCCTTGGTGAGGAACAAGCGGATGATGATGAAGAACAGGATTCTTTGAAGGTATGCTATACACGAAAACATGTTATAATTGTGTATTTAGGGTTTAAGATGTTATGTGTATTTTATGTTTTATATATTGGGCTTTGTGTTTAAAATATCATTACAATTTGGGCTAAACAGCATGAAGGTGTTACACGGCAAGTGGTCAAATGAAAAATCCCTGATATTTATGCGTATTTAAGGTTTAAGAAATTTGACTTTTATCAGGATTGTATTTGAAATTTCACTGCAATTTTGGCTCAATAGCACAAGGATGTTGACACAACAAGTGGTAAAATGCAAAAATCCTTTGATATTAGTCTTATATAGGGCTGGAAGTATGGCATTTATGTGTATTTAAGGTTTAAGATATTGGACATTTATCAAGATTTGTATTCAAAATGTCACTAACAATTTTGGCTCTATAGCACAGGGATGTTACCCAGCAAGTTGTAAAATGAAAAATCTTTTGAAGTGGGGGCTATCTATAATCAGTACTGGTTGAAGTCCCTTTGGCTAAAAATATGTCTGATATAGCTAACAGTGCTAGATTTCACTTGCAAGTGAAAAGAAATCCTTGATATTCAAGTATATATCTACATTTACAATAGCAAATTCCAAGTGTTTTGATTAGAGCTATTATTTATCCCATACCTAAAGGAGGTAATATAGATAAGCGTATACCTCTTAATTACATAGGAATTAGCATATTATCTTGTACATATAAACTTTATCGCAGTGTTATTAATAACAGACTTGTGAAGTTTAATGATTTGGAAGGTATTCTGGTTGATGGACAAAATTGCTTTAAACAAGAAAGATTGTGCAATCATCACATATTTTCTGTAAATTCCGTTGTTCAAAATTTGATTGAAAATAAATCGAATATTGTTGAGTTCATTGACCTCCAGGTGCTTGACTTTAAGTCAACAAAAAATAGAAATACATTTTCTATTCCATTGCAATAGATAACTGGAGTCTACATCACTCTACTATACCTTGCATTTGGCTTTCATGAGCAACGAATTTGGCTTATTAGTAATGATTATATATTTGTTTTTATTTGTCTGTTCCTTATTAATGGTTTATCGGTTGAAAGTTAGATGTTGATAAGGTACTTTCAAAAATATACTAAACAATCCAATTAGACAAATAAAGTATCTTATGCATTTCTAGGTGTAAGGTATAGTAGTGTGACATATTAAAATTGATACTTTGTCAACTTGACCCTCGCAAAAAATTTCATTGAAAATATGTTCTTATAATAATTTCGTATCTTATAGATAATTTTGTTGAAAATATTTTGCAATGTGTGAAAATAATTCAAGTCCAAGACTCAATGCATTGTGTAATGACTATTCCTTTCAGGCATTGTTTTCTTAAATGAACACTCGATGCTGTGTATCTCGTGCAAATTTTGGAAAGCAACACCTTCAAGGAATGATCATCTAGTCCAGGGCTTAAATCCTTAATCAATATTTCATACTTTGTTGAATTGTAAGACTGACCACTATAATAAATAAATAAATAGATATATAAACTGAACTACAATCTGCAAAAGCTCAATAACTTTGTATTTATGTGACACATGTACCAAATATTTGTTTAAATGTATAAAACTAAATATTTATGAAACACTAGTAACATTTTCACATGCAAAAGCTTAGCATTGTCTCTAAATACGCATAGGCCTTAACATTTTATTTGCATTACATAAAAATAATATTTGAATATTCTTTCATTGCAGGAAACCCTAGTGGAGACCAACCCCTATCTATTGGGCATGACTATTATTGTTTCTCTGATCCACAGTGTGTTTGAGTTTCTGGCGTTCAAAAATGGTAAGCACAATTGTTATCCCACTTTGAAAAAGTGCTTTATTGTTACAGTAGCCATGTTGTGCTCTTTGGAGGGTTGGTGCCCCATTAATTTTGTCATTAAAATTCCAGGGAAAATACCGTTTGGTTCAACTTCAAATGTTTATAGATGCAAGAGTAGACTAGTGCAAAGACCTTATAAGATTTGGGCTGTCGGGTGAATAACGTGGCAGCCATTTTGGTCTCCAAAGTGTGATTTTATCACCTTATGTCTTGTTTTAACATCTGATGTTAATGCTATGGATGTTGTCTGATTATTAAATTGCAGAAGGATAACAATATTTTATAATATTTTATATTTCAGATATTCAGTTCTGGAAGAATCGCAAGTCCCTGGAAGGTCTCTCCGTGCGTTCCGTATTCTTCAACGTGTTCCAGTCTCTAATTGTTATGCTCTACGTCCTTGATAATGACACTAATATGGTGGTGAAATTCAGCGTGTGTATAGGTCTTGCCATTGAGTGCTGGAAGATCCACAAAGTCATGAATGTCTCTGTAAGTACCTTTACTATAGTGTAGTGTAGTGTAGTGGAGTATAGTGTAGTGTAGTATAGTGTAGTGTAGTATAGTGTAGTGGAATATAGTGTTGTGTAGTATAGTGTAGTGGAGTATAGTGTAATGTAGTGGAGTGTAGTGTAGTATAGTGTAGTGTAGTGGAATATAGTATAATGTAGTGTAGTGGAGTGTAGTATAGTGTAGTGGAGTATACTGTAATGTAGTGGAGTATAGTGTAGTGTAGTGGAATATAGTGTAATGTAGTGGAGTAAAGTATAGTATAGTTTAGTGTAGTTTGGTATAGTATAGTGTGGTATAGTGTAGTGTAGAATAATGTAGTGTAGAGCTTAGGCCTATTTTGGCCTATTGCCATTCTACATTCAGATAACTACATTCACCTCTTTGACGCTTATTTTCAATGTTATCATGATTGTAATTTCAAATCTCAATTTCAGATTGACAACGAGAACAAAGTATTTGGAGTTCTACCTAGAATCAAATTTCAAGATAAATCATCTTACACAGAGTCAGACACCAAAAAGTTTGATATGGTGAGTATTAAATTAAGTGTACATTAAAGAGTATGTGGTGAAGTTTGCTCATCTGAGACCTAAAATTTTTTGTATCAATCATCTCATTCAGTATTATGTGCTAATACATATGTACATATAACTTGTTTTAACTTGTTTAACGAGTGAGGGGATCATATTAAAAGAATCTGCTAAAATGATAAATTATCTAATGATTGGTAATCCTATTTTCTTTACTTTATTGCTATATTTACTTTTATTGAAAATTGTGTATCGGATGTACGTTTGGCCCTAAAAGGGCATCAGTACTTGTAAAATCCTATTATATTATATAAAAAGACATGTTACACATATACACATCTGTACGTATTCTGTATGTATTGTATGTCACTGTTAGATATATTCTGAGGCCACAAAAATTAGTTAATTGGTATCCAACTTTTCTGTGTTCTGCGGCCGATGGTCATCACTCATTATCTGTAACAATTTTCAATGTCTTACAAGGTGGTGACATTTTGTCATGTTATGCCTTGTTTGGGTACCTTTAATTCACATTATTTTTTTTACTATTTTCAGATTGCATTCAAATATCTCTCATGGTTGTTTTTCCCACTCCTCGGTTGCTATGGTATTTACTCACTGATGTATCATGAACACAAAGGTGTCTATTCCTATATACTTAGTCTCCTCTATGGCTTCCTATTAACATTTGGTAAGTACATCTTATACTCTACAATGTGCACTCTTAAGTAACTGATCAGAAAGGGAGAATGAATACATACCCATTTAGTGAACTGAATCAAAGCTTAGGTTTGACCAAATTAGAAAAGTGAATAAATGCATAATCTCATATTCATGGTCCAATTTATGACTTACCAATTTTAACCGACTATAAATACACTAAAAATCGCAGTACCATCACCAACTAAAATATGCATCTTGCAATGTTTTTTTTTTGTAAAAGTAGAAAGAAAGTCCCATTACACCCATTTGCATGCCAAATTGCGTAAATTAAAAAAATATTTCAAAGTAAAGAGTAAAATGTGCAATACAGTGCAGTGTTATTTGAGTACAACTTTGTATTTTTCAGGATTTATCGCCATGACGCCCCAATTGTTTATTAACTACAAGATGAAATCTGTAGCTCATTTACCATGGAGAATGATGACCTACAAAGCACTCAATACCTTTATAGATGACATCTTCGCATTTGTCATCAAAATGCCCACATTGTATAGGCTAGGCTGTTTCAGAGATGGTGAGGCTATTTTATATATCGATGAGGCCAATTTGGGATATTGTTGAGGCCAAACATGCCAGTGTTCTTCTCGCTCTTTCTTTTTCAGTATTCTAATTTTAACCAAATCAGAATTTAACTTAATGTCAAAATATCAAATGTTGTCACCATCTTTTTTTACATTCACAATTGATTTCTAAAGGTATTTTCAACGGAGGTGATCTTTTGATACCTCAGAATAGAGCCATCTTCAGAGATTCATTTTGTTTTATATTTAATTTAAATGGGTACATTCCTCTTATGGCAATGTTCTACCTTAAGAGGTGTTTGTTCCATTTTGTGCCAAGTGACCTCTACTGCATCCAGCATTGGCAATCATAAGTGTAAATCATTTGTTATATCATTAAACAGAAAAAAGAGAAAATGAAAAAATGTTATGCTTTTTTCTTCAGATATTGTCTTCATAATCTTCCTCTACCAGAGATGGATTTATCCAGTTGATCCCAAACGTATGAACGAATTTGGTACCAGCGAAGAAATGTGGAAAGAACATGAAACTGGAGCAGTCGCAGAAGGTGAAGGTCAAGGTCAGCTAACTGAAGGTCAAGAGACTAAAGATGCAACTCCAAAACCGAAAGAAGAAAAGAAGAACGATTAATGATCAACTTGAATTAAGTTTATTCGTAGTTTAGCATTATAATCTCTGTGTTGTGGACAGATGTCACTATTTATCAATTAAAAAGAACAAGGGGTCCATGGTGGACAAACTTTTTGCAGCTTTTTCACAATTTTTATGCGTAGTGAAGAATTTAAAAAATAAAGATATACATCAAGTTTAATGTCATAGGTAGGATGGAAATCAAATATTAAGATATACACCAAATGGAATGTCGTAAGTTAGATGAAAATCAAGTGGTAATCAAATATAGAGATATACACCAAATGGAATGTCAAAAGTTAGATGAAAATCAAGTGGTAATCAAATATTAAGGGAATTCGCCAAATGGAATGTCATTAATTGTATGTGAATCAATTGGCAATGAAACAATTTATAGATCCTTTACACCAGGAAATGTAAGCAAAATGTAACTGCGATGTTGATATGGTCCCAATCAGGAAGGTATTTTAACAAAAACATTACACCAATGCTGAAGCAGTGTCATATATATAACATGTAAGTTATTCTACAATTTTATATTTTATAAGGGGCTCGGAGTCCCTTTTTTCTATATCCCAAAACTCAAAATAGCCTGTAATTTGCACAATTAATGGACTTTTTTGCAAACCATGCTATTAGAGCTTGAAAAATATTGCTCACATAGTAAGTGAATATATTGTGCTGTACCAAAAAGTCGATTAATTGTCTGTAAATTGCAGGCTGTATCAAATATTTTGATTTGGGGTATTTTAGAGACGGAGCCATTTTCATGAAATTGATTTTAATAAAGATTTAAATAGATAGGCTTACACAATCAGTGTGCACTGAGTTTTCTTTATTTTGTGCTGGGTTTAGCATAAGAGGGGAGAAACCCCAGGGTTCAAAGATGACATACGCTTATAATGTAAATCTGTATTGAGATGACATCATCGCTGATTGGTTTAGCGAGTCAATCATTGATTGGTTTAAAACTAGGTCAATTTGAAAACTTTGAAAACCAAGATGGAGGGTAAACAAATATACATACTTCCGGGAAAGGAGGTGCGCGAGGGAGGAAATCGTATGTCATCAATTGAATCATGGGGTTTTCCCTCCTCTTGTTTAGCATCAAGCCTCTGTTTCCTTTCAACTGATTGATGTGAGAACCAGGGATGGAACTTGGGAACAGAGTCTTGAAGCGAATTCCTTTTCCAATTAAATTGAGTGCAATACTTTAGGGTGTTTCATATGCACCCCCTCTAAAAACATATAGAGTGGCAATGCTACATGAATGAATTTATAGGGGGTGCATACATATGAAACACCCTGTATATTACATGTATGTGTAGCATATACACGGAGGTTAATCAATTTGATAATAAATGAACTAATGTTGTGAAGAAGTTTGTCGATTTGTGTACCAAAAATAAATGATTATCACATGTCGAAGGGCCACACAAAAATATGAAACCTCTAAGTGTGATGCATCGCAAAAAATGTTGAAACGTTTTAATAAATATGTGAATGAATGTACAACTGTCTAGTATTCAGGTTTTAATAAATAACAAAGTAATGTATTGCATTTGTATTATTCCGATATTGCTGCACGCACCAGTGTCCATAACTTTGCAATAGAAGTTATTGTTCAAGAAGCTGGAATTTAAAATCATTCTATTTTCATACAATGCCCATACAACTGTAATCAGTTCTCTCTATTTAACTCAATCTTATGTTCTCACCTCATCATGTGAGGTCATATTTGAAGTCAATGCTAAAGTCCTAGTATTGTTTTGCATCAAATATTATCAAAATGTCATAATGTTTCTTATTGTTTGAGTTGCCTTGTCTTGGTTCAGTGGATAAAATTGACATGTGATCAGTGTTTCCAATATTTATGTGTTTTTTTACCTCACACATTCTCAATCCCCAAGTATTCTTTATCTTTGACTATTCTCCATTTCATGACATCTTTAACATAGTATAGATACTATATCTATGGTACAAACTATTTCCTAAATGTGAGCACTGGTGTATCAAGCAAAAGACAGAGTGTATAAAGGTATCAATTATTTTGCACATGAGATTTTTTATTTTATAAAGCATGAAAAACCGACAGGTGTCCATTTCTCGAAAACATCATCAATTACGATTTACAAATTTAATTGTCTTCTATGATTTTTCCATTTCTGGATGTTCTTCAATCTATGATTTTATCAATGAGGTGCTTCAAGAAACGCAATTTCGAAAATCATGGAAAATATCGTAGAAAACAAAAATCATCAATCTGGAATGTTTTCGAGAAATGGGCGCCAGGGGAGTTTCATGAAGTTATTAGAATGAAATTACATGAATGTACAATTTGAAATAATTTGTAGTTTTTTTTATTATATTTCAATAAATTACATTATTCAAGTGAATTTGATTATGATCTCAGATTATTTAAAATTAGGTAGCTGTGTCCATGTAAAGGAGGATTGGGTTCCATGATACTTTGCAGTATTTTGTCAGAAGGGGTTTAATCCCATGATGCCCCTTCAGATGGGGGATTAAAAGGAGGAAATCCCAGAATCCATAGATGAACCTGTCTCTATGTAAATATGAACCTCAGAAATTATTCATCTATGAATTCTGGGTGATTTCCTCTCTTTATGGAATGCATGGGAACCCATTTCCATAATCACAATCTAATTCTAAGATTATTTCGCTGTTAAGGATAGTTTGACATTATGGTGTTCATCAAATCTCACAGGTATAAATGGGCATTGCCATTCTGGCAATCATCACATCTTTCTGTCTTCAACTAGAAATATCAAGTAAGAAGCTTATACGAAAATTTCATGAAAAATATCAAGTATTGATTAAGAGCAAATGCTAATAGTACATTACTTTTGGGACAACCCTCGTAGAAGACCATGATTTCTCATGATGGGGTATTGCCAGTCCTCCGATTCTTTGATAAATTGATTGTTAATCAGTTAGACTTAGTGAGTTAGAAAACATGTTCATTGAATATGGACAATAAGAAATATGCTTATTTTCTCATTTTTAAGTTGAATATTGTGGCCAATCAACTGAATAAATGTGCTGTGCTATATTCTCTATATAAATGAGTTAAAGTTTGTTATTTTGTCATATCTGGGTATAGGGTATATTATGGATAAAATTTTAAATGTTGTCCCGGTGCATATGACTCCAAAATCTAGAGTAGCTTCTTTCTCAGTCCACTTGGAAAAAGCGAGTTGCATTTTGGGATTAAAATGTGAACAAACAATAAAATCCAGGGAAGCATTTTTCAGAATAAAATTTATAAGGCCGAATATTGCAGGCAGAAAATAAATGAAGTTAGGCAGACAAATAAACAAAACATTAACATGCAAAATTTCACCACCTGCCATTTGTTACAGACACCGAATGGCGAACACAAACCACTGACCCTTATCATCTTCAACAACTTCACAATCTGACTGATATCAGAAAACATAATACAACACTTTGATTGTACCATAATATTTTTATTAAGAATGATACAAAATACATCATCATTATATACATGTAATAGTACAATCAATGGCACCTAAAGTACTAAAAATAATGTATTGAGTTTGTCAAATCATGCAATTTGCCCAATCTTTTCTGTAAATATGATTGCTTGAAAATGTTTTCTCATATTTTCGATGCAATCTTCAAACCCTTTTGGCCAGTCTTCATGGCATTCAGATTAGGTAAGTTTTACTGTATTTTGCGATATACAAAAACGGCTCTATATAACATCAATTGTGACGTCTTTCAGCAGATCATAATTCCTGATTATATAGATTCACATCATAAATGAATTAAGCTTGAGGCAGGTGAAGCTGTTCTTCTGACAATATTTTAGCAGTATATTTCCACTGATGCTTATGCCTCAGTCACATTTGATCTAGTCGGCAACCATACAGCGGCCCTAGCTTCACAAAATTGAGAGAAATATGCAGTGAAAATATAAGGATATATGCAGTACAATGTAAATTTTCTATATCGATTCTGTGAAGCTACAGCCGCTGTATAGCAGACAGAGGCTTTAAATGATGTCTCATTGTTCCATAAAAAATTTTGATTTAAAAATGCCTTGTCTAACTAAGCATTTGATTCCATTTTGTAAATGATTATAATTGTATCATATCAAGTTCAAATTTACCTGAATATGGTCAATGTGCATGTTGCGTGTCCTGAGTTGTATGATCCTTGCGATGGCTTGTATTAGCTGTAGTCATAAGTTGAGCAATTGACCATAAAAAAATACAAGCAATACATATATCTTTAAATAACTGTCATTGTCCAGTCTGTATTTGTGCATTTTGTTGTATTTTGTAATTACAGGGTGTCCCGAAAGTATGGGACCCCCTAGGCAGACATATACCAGTGTCGTCATAGTATGTGTCATATATCATTTTTAAAGCTTATCCAAAGTTACATTGATTTGCCAAGTATCATGGTTTAACTCTCAAATGGGAAAAAGTTACAGTCTTTTTAAATATTAGTGTTTTGTCAAAATAAAGTTCAATTTTACACCACATTACTAGTCAATGTGTCCCCCCTTGGCCATGTTCACAGCAGCAATTATTTTCAGATATGACCTTAAAAGGCCTTCAAATAGGGGTGTGGAATTTTATAATCCTCTTAAAACCTGTTTTTTCATCCGACCCGAAAAGAATTGCTGCTGTTAAGATGGCACGGGAGGACACATTAACTAGTGATTTGGTGTAAAAATGAACCCAATTTTGACCAAACACTAAATTTTAAAATGCCTGTAATATTTCACATTTGAGAGTTGAACCATGATACTTGGCGAATCAATGTAACTTTGGATAAGCTTTAAAATGATATATGACACATACTATGACAACACTGGTATATGTCTGTCTAGGGGGGGGCATACTTTTTGGACACCCTGTATATTAAAGCTATCTGGAAAACTGTTTAGTGCAGTCAGAATGTGGGTTTCGGCGTGCGTTCAGAGGGATTTTATGAGACATAATTTTTCATGTTACTACGATGATTATACATATTTTTATGGATTATTAGATCTTAGTTTTTCAGCTTTTAGATTTTGTGGCCATTTAACCCCCCATGGGCTAAAATTTGGACCCCTACTATAAAATTGGGCAAGAACTCAAAAAATACTCAGTGGAATGTTTCCAAATTACATTGTTATATTGGTATAGGCTAATTGAATATATGATAAAAATTTCATGTCACATGGTTAGGTGGTTGCCATGGAAATGGATAAAACATGCCCTTCGGGTGTCAATTTTCAGGCCAATTTTTCAGGACTGACAGAGTCATTTCATGCATATTTTGTCCCCAATGTGTTAGGAAGGGTTAAAATGTAAATAGAAAACTTCTATAATATATTAGCAACAATTGTATGTAAAGATCAGTCCACAAAACCTCAGATTTTGGCCTTGTATTGGTCCATGACTTATACAGGGGTCTATTTCATAGACTCGAGCTCCCACATTGGATGGATGCTATAACTTTTGAAATAATGGAGATACAGGTCTCATTTTCCATGGTAACCAGGGTTTTAGGGAAATTCTGGCCCCAACATTGGATGGATGCTATAACTTTTGTAATAAGGGAGATACATGTCTCATTATTTCAGATCTTAGACAATGATTGATTATTAATACTAAATTAGACTTTGGGAGCTGAAATTTGATTGGTTACCATGGTAACTAGTTTTTATTGAAATTTGGACCTCCTCAATTGATAAATGCTTAACGTTTGAATTTAAGCAGATACAGATATCATCATTTCAGGTCTTAAAAATTAATTAGGTTTGTGTATTGAATTAGACTTTGTAGCTTAGCATTTACTTGATTGCCATGGTAACCATGTTTTGTCGTCATGGTACCCTTAATTTTTTATTTCATTTTTACCTTCATTTGAGAATGGTCAATTCACAACATGTTATACCAAAACGCTCAAAATTATCATTTTGCTCTTAAATTCAGCAATTTATCCTGTATGTCTGACAGTATAGCCTCATTCCATTCTACTAGTTCTCACACATATTCTGACTCCCAACTTGTTTTTACTCATCATTATCGTTTTCATCTTCCACAATTACCTCTTAATTAAAAATATCAACAATTTCTATTGGAAAGAAGGATTCTTTTGACCATTCTTGTGTTAAAGATTTGTCAGGGAATTCACAGTTCATTCATGCAGTGTTGGGCATAATGGTAGAGCTGGGTTTAGGCTGGTGGGAATGTGTCCATACATAGGTTTGATAATTTACCCTCTTCAAATGTGAAAGAAAATGTCAACACCTTCATAAGTGAGGGCAGCACTGTTCTGTTTTGTTCTGTATCTCATGGGAAACAGCTCATCTTGTAATCTATTAGTGGCAGTTATTTTTCTATTTCTGCTGTATTTTTGCAGGTGAACAATTCAACTTTCGATTTTATGGTAGCGGGAATTCCAATATTGTTTCCTATAGAAGAAAACAACTTTAAGAATTGTTTGTCTTCCGTTTCAGTTGATTTACTTTTCCTTTGTTCTGATCCAGTAAACGCATCGAAGGCTAATATGGCTTCACACAGGACTTAGTCCTAGGTTTGCAGCTACAGGGGTTGGGTTGAGCTTCTGACATCTAATGGGACATAGTTCACATTTGAGGTTCTTAAGGTTGTTTTCTTCATAATAGGAATCAATATAGAAATTTCTGACACAAAAAAATCCAAAGTTGAATTGTTCACCAGTAAAAGTACAGCAGAATTACAAAAATATGTTTGTAACTTACATCAATAGATAACGATATGAGCTGTTTCACATAAGATATTCTCCAAAGCAGAACAGTGCTGCCCTCACTTATGGAGGTTTTGACATTTCAACTCTTCCCATCTTTCAAGACTGGTCCTTCACTGCTTTCATTGCAACTAATATAATGCAATGAATTAAATGATGAACTCTTCCACCTTGTAATGATTGCTCATTATAACATTTGAAGAGGATGGATGATAAAACTTATATTTGGAAGTGGAAACATTACCTCCCCCTCGTCTCCCATCGAGTTCACTGTATATAAACCTTGAGGGGATCCTCAGCTCAGGTGGGGTACTTTTGACATTTGATATGGCAATGGACCCAAATTTTAGGATCTGGTATGAGAATGCTCTCCAAATTATGACTTGAGAGGTATGGCAATGGTCGGATTTGGAAATGGTTGTGAAAAATATGTTGCCCCACACTTGTTTTACATGTATGGCATTGATCTAGTATATTCTTAATGTGAGGTTGTTTTTGGTTGTTTTCCTCAATGATCTGCCTTCTTCTCGAGGCATTAGAAATTTTGAATGGCCATGTTTTCATATCTGGATATTTGGTATGGCACTGGTCCTATATTTGGGCATTTGGTATGGCTTTTGGGCATTATTTTGGTTGATATCGGAACACATTCAAATTTGACAGATTGGATGGGAACATATTGATATTTGAGGTTTCAGCCAAGGATCCCAACCACATTTTATATACAGTGAACCCACAGGGACCAGTCTTAACCCATTCTACCAAGTCCAATACTGCATGAATGGACTATATCCCCTAAGGATCCTTATCTCCAGAATGGTCAAAACAATCCTTCATTCCAACAGAAATTGATGATAAGAGGAAATTGTGCTAAATGAAAACAGTAATGATGAGTACAAATGAACAAATTAGGAGTCAGAGCTTTTGTAAGAACTAGTCCTATTGAATAAGGCAATATTGTCAGACATACATGTATTGTTTACTAGTATTTGATATTTTATGAGCCAAACAATGTTTGCATCTCTAGTATTATTGAGTCATGAGCATGTATATCATATAAAATAGAAAAAAATCCCAAAATTGAGAATGAAATGGTAACTTTGAGCAACTTGGTATTTTAGAATAAAGGTTAATCTGAAAACGAAAACAGCAGTTACCATGACAATGAAACATGGTTACCATGGCAGACAAATAAATCCTAGCTTCCAAAGTCTAATACAATACACACATATTATTATTATCTTACATCCGAAAAGATTATATCTTATCTGGCTGTATTTAAGAGTTATAGTGTTCATCAATTGTGGAGGTCTGAATTTCAACAAAACCCTGGTTTCCATGGTAACCAATCAAATTTCAGCTCCCAAATCTAAATCAATACTTTAAATCCATCATTCTCAAAAATGTGAAAAAAATGAGACACGAATCTCCCTTATTTCAAAAGTTATAACATCCATTCAATGTCGGGGTCAGGATTTCCTTAAAACCCTGGTTACCATGGCAACCAATCATATACCAGCTCCAAACTTATATTAAAATACTTAAAACCAACCATTTATGAAGATCTGAAAAAATGAGACCTGTATCACCCTTATTTCAAAAGTTATAGCATCCATCCAATGTGGGAGCTCGAGTCTATGAAATAGACCCCTGTATAAGTCATGGACCAATAAAAGGCCAAAATCTGAGGTTTTGTGGACTGATCTTTACATAGAATTGTAGCTAATATATTATAGGAGTTTTCTATTTACATTTTAACCCTTCCCAACACATTGGGGACAAAATATGCATGAAATGACTCTGTCAGTCCTGAAAAATTGACCTGAAAATTGAAACCCGAAGGGCATGTTTTATCCATTTCCATGGCAACCACTTAAGCATGTGACATGAAATTTTTATCATATATTCAATTAGTCTATACCAATATAACTTAGTAATTTGGAAACATTCCACTGAGTATTTTTTGAGTTCTTGCCCAATTTTATAGTAGGGGTCCAAATTTTAGCCCATGGGGGGTTAAATGGCCACAAAATCTAAAAGCTGAAAAACTAAGATCTAATAATCCATAAAAATAAGTATAATCATAGTAGTAACATGAAAAATTATGTCTCATAAAATCCCTCTGAACGCACGCCGAAACCTACATTCTGACTGCACTAGTTGACTTCAGTTTGTATAATACAACAGGCCAGCTGATGATTCAGCACGTGGAGAAAAAGTGTGAAAATGGGTCTTTATCTCAATTTAGACCAGTAGATCTTAAATCCATATGACCCACACAATCCACACATACAGTTATTTTGCTGGTTACTCTCCTCACATTGTACCTAAGCCACTGTGTCTGAGACACAAAGTTTTTTGACAAAGTTATTAAGAGGCAACTCAGTCACTTTTCATTCTTTCGCTTTTTTTGTTTGTTTCTTGCCTGCTTTCTTCATCCACGGAGACGTCTGTGTCGCAACACTAGCACCCACTTTTTTCACTTTAGTTTTTGGAACAGCTGCTGGAAAGAGTAATAAAGCAAAAAGGGCAACATTAGAAAAAACACAAAATACAGAATTTAAACCAAATCTTTTTGCAAATAACTTATCAAATCCTTTCTATGAGTACATTAAATATTATATCTGATTCATATCTTCTGAAATGGGCTCTTGTTTTTATGACCTTGTAAAAGATGATAATGGAAATTCTAATAGAAGGACTTTTATAGAGAGCACCTTTCATTTAAATCACTCAATCAATGTGAATATTTATCGATTCTCTACAGGATTTTTTATCAAGTGGGTGCAAAATTCTAATTTTCACAATTCACACTGAAATTGGTCAAAATATGACCATTTTTCAGAATTTTTCTCATTTTCAAGTGGGTGCAAATGGATTTTCAGTTGGGTGCAAGCCTGCTTTAAAAATCTCAGGTGGGTGCTGCACCCACTTAAATGTTGGGGAGATCACTGGATATTGTCAGCAATTTAACAGACAGATAACATATAGATGGCAGATGAGTTGGTGATTCAATAAAAGTTTGCGTTGTTTCACATTTTAGTGGTTTCGCACAATGCTTTTAGCTCAACATATCTAGAATCTGTAACCCATTCACCAGATTTATGCATAGAAGATCAAATGTGATAAGATTAGTTGCTGATACGTTTTAGCTATAACCCATTGTGCGAAACTCTCTATTAGTATTCCACATGGCACCATACAAATATGTTACGGCAGATAACTAAAGATAGAGACCCAAGTTGACAATCTTTCTCGATGATATTCTGCCTTTCATGAAAGGCTGCATGTGAAATGGATTCTTACTTATAATATCTTACTTATACATTTCTATTTCTACCTTTATTTGCACTCCTAATAGGAGATTTCACTGCTCCCACAGGCCATACAGGGGTAGATTTTTTGGATTTTACATCTCCATTTGATACTGCCTTCTTTGCAGGGTTAGATTTCTTAACAGGGGATTTTGCCTTCCCGCTGGGGGTAGATTTCTTTACAGGGGATTTTGACTTCCTTACTTCTGGGGTAGGTCTGGTGGGAGATTTTAGAGTTGGCCGTTTTTTAGTAGAGTCCATTTCATCGTTACCTGCTGCACTCTTGCGTTTTCGACTTTTCTGAATAAAAAAGATCTAACATATGACACAGGGCATTAAAATGTAAAATGTCACACCTACCATTTGTTACAGATGCTGACTGCCAAACGCCATCCACAAAAAGGTGGAGACTATAACAATATGTCGCTTCTGGTGCCGACATAATAAAAATGAATAGGCTCATATTTATCTAATTCAACACATATAATCACAATCTCTGCACATACAATGATTTAGTTGGAGCTTTAATTTGTTGATGAAATTAACACATTCCTTGTTGAGTACCATGTGATAGAAAGTAAGTCATAAAATTATGAATGTTATTTTTCATAACCCACATTTTTTCTTAGCAAAACACAGCTTTAAGCCTTAGTCACATTTGCTCTATGGCAGGCATCAGTGGCCGAATCTTAACAAAATTGATATAGAAACTCAACATCGTGTTGCTTATCTCGATATCAGTATATTTCATGCTGCATATTTTTATCAATTTCGGGAAGCTACGGCCAAAGTACAGTAGGCGTAGATCAAATATGACTGACTCAGGCATTAGTACCTTTATTGGAGATTTCACCGCTTTAAAGTCAAACTTGCCATCATCTGAGGTTGACATTTTCTTTAGTGCTGTAGTGAATAGTGACCTTAACTTGTTGTAATCTGGTTTCTCTGTATACTCCAGCTTTGTTGTCATCTCTAAATACTTCTGAATTTCATCTGAAAACAATTAAGTAAAATGACAAACTTGCTGAATATTAAACGAGCTAATTGTTGTTAATAGTGATCATCTGTAAACAAACACCATGTGGAAATTGAACAATTTAATGAGGCCTATTTTCTGAAATAAAAATGTTGGAAGAAATTGATATTATGAGAACTCAATCTGGTGTATGCTTACACCAGTCTTGTACATTTGTCAGATATGGTTTATCAAGTTGTCTGTTTTTACACTAATTTGGTTTGCATTTACACTTATAGTGGTATTTACACTGACCTGGTTTTTCACCTTCAGGAAAACAGGCTGACATCAAACTAGGAATGTTCTTCATGTATCTGAAATATGATATTCATGGTTTATAGGGGTTCTGAAATTAACAAAAAAATGTCACAGTGATGCAGCAATGCTTTTTTGTGCTTGCCAATTTTTTCCATATGACAAACTTTAAAATGTTTTGAACAAATATCTTTTGTACTGGTCAAGACATTAAAATCAAAGTATATTCGATGAATAAAATATATCTAGACAGTTTGTCTAGATGTTGTATAAAAATATAATATGAACACAAAAACTAGATCGAGACCAATAGGTGCGCCACCTATTTGCAGAATTCAAAACCATATTTCTGCATTGATTACAATTTCTATATGATTCATTCTGGACAAGCGAAGATATTTCTCTTTTCCAGATATCAAAATTTGGGAAATTGATAGAAATCTACATGAGTAAATACAAACTTGATTTTCTGGTCCCTCACAAATTCTTTATTGTTTAGATTGGACTCCCAAGGTAGGCGTCCACACAGCCATTGTAAGAGACAATACCCCAAGACCTCTATATCCCCTCGCCTAGAAGGATAAGCTCCCTTGTGTGCATCTATACTGGTGAACTCTATAGTCCCATCATGGCACCGTTTGGGGTCCTCCTTGTATTGTTTATGTTGTTTATCGGGTATGTATCTGTATGCCAGGCCATAGTCAACTAGGTACACCTAAAAATATAAACATTTTACAGTTGTTTGAATGCCAGTTTCCTATAAAGCCATAATGTATTTATATGAAAGATCCAGTACATGAAGATGAGGCATATGGTGAACACTATCATACTTAAAGAAAACAAAAAATTTACCCAGCGTGCCCGAAAAAACTACATTCTACATTTTCATACCAAAAGACATCCCAGGTTGTCAAATCAGCCCATCAAACATTTTATTTCTAAACAAGCTCTTAAATTTGTTAAAAGTTCTAAGCATTTAAATAGTTTATTTTGACAAATATTTCTTCTATCTACCTGTTCTGTTGTGCCTTTAGCATAGCCCATCAGCAGATTTGCGGCTTTAATATCTGCATGTACGTACTCATGGTCATGAATGTATTCTAGTATAGTCAACTGAAATAGAAATGGTGTTATTAATCATAACATCATGTAATGTACTTGGTAAGTATATTTGGTAAGTTGTTTGTGGCAAAATGTGTAAATAAATGAAACAACCACTTGCTAATGCCAGCTAGTCAAGATATAGAATTAGAACAATATGTCACTTTTTAGTTAAGACATAATTAATTTGAAATTGGAAACAGTAGGGTAAAACGTTGATGTTAAAGTGTTGTAATTATACCCTTTATGCGTCAGTCACATTTGATCAATGGCAAATGTACAGCATGCAGCTATAGCTTCCAAAAATTGAATGAAATATGCAGCATAAAATATAGGAATCAGCAGTATGATGTCGATTTTCTATATCAATTTTGTGAAACTATGGCCGCCATACTGTCGCCCTAGAGCAAAAGTGATTGAGGCTTTGATCCCTAAAATATATGAAAGGCAGCAAAGGGTTAGGTCTGAAATAGGATTGCAGATATGAACTCCTGTCAACTTGTTGGTTATTTTTAAAAAACTTCAGTCGATTTGAAGCAATTTGAAAGTGACGATTTTGAGCCTTTTTTCGAACTTGAATATCTCAAAACTGAGGCAAAATTTATCTCAGGTTAAAATGTTGAATACTTGTTGACCATTTTGGGTAAATCAGAAATGTTTTTTTAGCCTTGACCTAAATAAAATTAATTTTCTACTAAAATCAGCCAAAATCAGCAGAAGGGACATTCGACAGTATCTTACTGAAACCTAACTGAAAGTAGGAGAAAAAGTGCAAGGAAGAATTTTCGAAGAAATCAAAAATCCGATAAAATTATATAAAGGACCCCTTTCATCTAAATAAAAATTGTTCATGTAGAAAGTAAAGGAGGAGGGAAATTAGTGCAACAGATTTTGGACAGTCATATGTTGGATTTTGGCTATTCTCTGAGGATTTAAACAGGTGCATATGTTAGATCAATGCATTACCTCCAGGAAAAGCACTCATAGAGATGATAAAATAATTTCGACTCTGAGACAGGGGAGGTGCAAACAACCCACCCACATGTTTTTTCTGAAATGTTGTTCTGACTTTCAACCCCTTCTACCCCTGCTTTTTAATTTTTGTTGCATCAATATGTTTTGTTTTGACACACAGTTAACCACTTTTAAGGAATAAATAAAGTAGATAGTCAGATAATGATAGAACATCTAATTCAACAGAACAGTGAGTATTTTTCCTAAATATGCTTTACCAAACCATTCCATTGCTTGAGAAATTCAAAACTAAAACTTTTTCACAACTTGTGTAGTTATTATGAAAATATAAGTAATTAACATTTTTGCTGATATGTCTAACATTTTAAACCCAGGTGACCAGAAACAAGATTCTGTTCCTTACATTAGAAGGTTAGGACTTTGAGTGCCGAAAACATGCACACTACTAGTGAAATTTGTCATCCTACCCCAAATGAAATAAAGCACATATTAAATGAATGTTAACTCCATAAAATGAATATTAAATCCCATTAAATGAATAAACTTATACCCACTAAATATTATTTCACAACTTCATGAAAGGTAAAAACAATAAATAACAACAAATTAATAATAATTATTTTCACTAAGATGTCTACTTAATCACATGTTTAAAAGGTAAAAAGAATAAAATAACAATAAATTAATAATTATTTTCACTTAGGTAATGTCTGCCTAATCACATGTTCTCATTTGTTTGATATTCAAAATTGATACTCCATGAATTAATATGTACCAGTAAGTGGAGGTTTAGGTTACAAATAGAGGTGAAATGGTTTTAATGTGGGTTTTATTTGGAACATAAAGTGAATTCAATATTTAAGGATAGATCAGTTGGTGACAATAGTTTTGTTTCAAGAAACCAGAATATGATCAACTGATGTCAGATTTACTTCAGAGTCAATATGTGCAACATCTTGATTTGCAAATAAAATATGAAAAGGAGGTACAATTACAATAAACAAACACAATAGTATTATGCAGAACTTATATTAAGATTGTAGTAATGGATTGGAACACTACCACAGAGACATTGATGAACTTTAAAGTAAGCGCATATGTTACATATGAAGAGAAGATAATACTGAGTATTACTGCCGCCATAGGATTTATTGGGAATCTTTTCGTTATTTTTGTTTTCCTTAAATCCTTACAACTTCGAAGAAAACTTAGCAATATGTTGATTATAAATCAAAGCTTAGTTGACATGTTGGCTTCGTTGTTCATATTATTGACTAAAATATTTGATGGTATGGACTGGATAAAGGAAGAAGGCCTATTGGCAAATTTCATCTGCAGTTTTTGGCTGTCTGAGTATCTCCCATGGATGTTAGTTACACTTTCATCATTCAACCTCGAAGCGATAACCATTGAGCGATACATATCTCTGATACATCCATTATTTTACAGGAAACACATCTCCAAGAAACTAATTTGGAGAGTCATAGTCCTTCTATGGTTGATAGGCTTGGTGCACGAAAGCTACGAAATCTGGAGTTCTGTCTTAAAAGGAACAAATGCTCCTTGTGGACGAAATGGCCGAGCAAACAGTTCCATCAAATATTTGGCATCTACATATTTGTTGTTGAATTTTTTATGCCAATTTGTATTATGGTATATTGCTACAGCAGAATTGTCCATATGATTCACAGTGGATCAAAACTAAAAATTGGATCATCCCGACGTGAGCAACAAATGTCTAAAAGTAGAAATATTGTTATACGTACACTGATTTTTGTGTCGTTTGGATTTTTCATATGTTGGGGACCTATTCATATATATACACTGTTAAAACGTCTACATATAGTTGCAGACTTTATTGGGACACTATACCAGATCACTGTGTACATGGCAATTGCAAATTGCAGCATCAATCCAATCATTTATTCATTTAGCCACTCTTTGTTTAGAAAAGAAGTGAAGAAGATTTTTATGAAAGAACAAGAACGAGAAAGAACAAGTTTTACAACGACAACACAAAGGAGGTCAGTAAATAGTCAGACAATCAGAGAACATATAATGTAACAGAACAATGTGTTTACAATGACAACAGTAAAAAGTCAGACAATGACAGAACATACAAGGTTACAGAACAGTATATTTAACAATGACATCACAAATGAGGTTAGTAAATAATCAGACAATGACACAACATATAATATAGCAGAACAGTGTGTTTACAATAACAACACAAAGGAGGTTAGTAAATAGTCAGACAATGACAGAACATACAATGTAATGGAACAGTGCGTTAACAATGATAAAACAAAGGAAGTCAGTAAATAGTCAGAACAATGACAGAACATATGATGTAGCAGAACAGTGTGTTAATAATGACAACACACATGTGGCCAGTAAATAGTCAGACAATGACAAAATATAATATGGAACAAAACTTTCAGAGGTGTATGTTTTCCACCTTAGTCGGAGAGCAACAACAATTTATAGTCATTACAGCCTGAAGCAAATTATCTTGTTTTTGGTCACTCCAGGGTTGTGGCAGCAATTTCAAGAAAAGGAATGAGTAGGTTCCATGAGTAGCTCATAAATTATGACCTTTCATGTCAAATTTACAAATTGACAAATAAACTGGCATGTTCTCTATATCCCTATTCAGACTTAATCCTATGTGATATAAAACATACTTCTACAGCTTTCTATCTAGTCTGTTCTAGATATTTATACATTTTCCACTTTAATACGTCAGAGAGTAAGAACAATTCATAGTCATTACAGGGGGAAGCAAATTACAATGTATCTTTGTTTTTGGTCACTCCAGGGGTTGTGGCAGAGATATTTAAGATAAGAAAAAGAATGAGTAGGGTCCACTTTGATTTGTCAGATTCTAACTTTAATGAATACATGAGCTTGCATGAGCTTGCTTGCTTGGGTCTTTTCTAAATCTAATAAGGTAAAATTTTGAAAATAATTAACATTTTTGCTACCAGGTCTAACATTTTAAACCCTGGTGAGCAGAAACATTTTTTCCTATATTAGATGTACATGAATCATCATATATGATAAAGCTTACAATTCTGATTGCCAACATGCACACAAATGGAATTTGTCATTTCCCCTCTAATGGAATAAAGAGCATTAAATTAATGCTAACTTCATAAAAAGAATATCAAATCAAATTAAATGAATAATTGCTCACTAGATCTTATTTCATAACATTATTTTAAAAGGTAAAAAGAATAAAATAACAATAAATAAATAATTATTTTCACTAAGGTAATGTCTGCCTAATCACATGTTCTCATTTGTTTGATATTCAAAATTGATACTCCATCAATTAATATGTACCAGTAAGTGGAGGTTTAAGTTACAAATAGAGGTGAAATGGGTTTAATGTGGGTTCTGTCATTTATGACATAATTATTAAGTCAATTATTTAAGGAAACATCAGTAGGTGACAATAGCTCTGTTTCTAGGAGTCAGCAAATGATCAACTGATGTTAGAATTATTTACTTCTTAGTCAATTTTTGACTTCTTATTAAAGTGTGCGGTAACACTAACTCATAGGTTTGAGAAAACTTTAAATGTGAAAAAGGAGGAACATTTACAATAAATTAACACAATATTAATGCATTACTAAGATTAAAATACAACAGCAATGGATTGGAACGCTACCACAGAGACCCTGATAAATTTTAAAGTTAGCCCTTATGCTACATTTGAAGAAAAGATAGTCTACAGCATTATTGCCACCATAGGATTTATTGGGAATCTTTTTGTTATTTTTGTTTTCCTTAAATCTGTACAATTTCGAAGAAAACTAAGCAATATGTTAATTATAAATCAAAGCTTAGTTGACATGTTGGCTTCATTGTTCATATTATTGACCAAAATATTTGATGGCATGGACTGGATAAAAGAAAAAGGCCTATTGGCAAACTTTGTCTGTAGTTTTTGGCTGTCGGAGTATCTCCCATGGATGCTAGCCGCAATTTCAACATTTAACCTGGAAGCAATAACCTTTGAGAGATACATTTCT